CTGCTGAGTGGTTGTGAAGCTGGGTGCCCTGCTGTTGTTTGATGGACCGATCCTCTTCCTTTAGGGGTAACTTCATCTGGGTTTGGTACGGCTCTCTTGGCTCGCAAAGAATGTCTGAAATTCCTAATCAAGAAACTTTCCAAGGTCGTCCGACTTACAGAAAGTCAGAAAAACGAATTGAAGATTTATGACAGACTCAAAGCCAAAGAATTCACTGGGATAGATAACCTTTGGGGAATTCATCCGTTTTTTATACCAAGGGGTAAGAATGATTTTAAATAAATAAGATTATCTTCTTGTGGTTTACAAATACTTCTATTGTGACTTTTAACTTTGGTATATCATGATTACTTTTGAACTAGTTATCTGAGTTAGAATCTGACTTGGCGTAATCATAATTGTGTGAGTGGTTAAAAATATATAACAGGCATATAAAAATAGGAGAAAATACAGTCTTTAATACATGAGTAAATTGTCCCATAAAAATGCATTTATATGTTTATTATTTGGTGCTCAAAACAAGACCTTTCCTATAGTGGTAATTCAGCCCATAATGTTTCAACTATAGAACTTTATCACCTTTTACAAAAACAGTTTTGTGAACCCTTGAGGGCAGGTGTCACTCATCTCCCTGTCCCTGGCATCTGCCATGTAGCTTAGCAGTCATAGGCATTCAGAGAATGTCTGCTGAGTGAGTGAATGGATGAATACATGAGTGATTAAATAGGAAATGCAGGTGGATTTCAGTTCTAATCCTTGCTCTTATTAGGTTGCCTCTGTCAAATATTTAAATGAGGTAGATATCTTAGATATCTTTCCAAGGCACTCTGGATTTTTCGGATTGTTGCTTCTCTAGCAGAGTCATCTATTTCTTGTCCCTTCTTTCCTCTCTGTGTCAAGAATTGTTGAGTACCTGGAATGTGTAGAGGTGCAGTGGCAGTTAGCGGGGGTTCATTGGTGAACTAAACCAGCCCAGCTTCTGGGCTGAATGGGACATTGCCCCTTTCCCTCTCCCTCTTCAACAGTACTGTCTTCATCCCTGATGGGGCCCCCCCGTGATCTAACCATTGGATCCCTTCCCTAAGCCATCATAGTAGTATTCAGTTCTCTCGTGTAGGAGCTGTGTGCTTGTGGCCTGGGTCTGGGGTGGTCCTTGCTTCTGCTTCCGTAGCTGAGCTAATAAATGTTTTCCTAGCCCCACTGCCTCCAAAGTGATGTACGAACAACTTCTGCCAGGAGACATAGTGGCGTAAATATTAAGCCCTCTAAGACAGTTATTAGTCCTGCACTTCAGCTATATTATGGGTTAAGGATGCATCCTGAATTGTCTTGGTGGCCTAAAAACCTTGGATGAAATTGTTTATATGGGCTTATATACCAAGCTTCCACTTGACTTTTAGGAACATACAAGTATAAGGTAAATTGTACAAGTACATGTAGTAGTAATTCCAGGTGTAGGTTGTGAAAGGAAAGATGTATGCTTGCAGTTCCGACCTATATGAGTATGTATAGATGTAGGTGTAGGAAGTGCCGAGATCTTTGTAGTAGGCACAGTTGAAGAAAGTATGCTGCTGGCTCTTCCTGGAAAGCATTTCATGGACCCAAAAGTGAGGAAATATCAAAATAGGGCTAAGCGTTTTCACCACAGATGGTACTTCGCTGACTGACAGTCTACTTGGTGGATTCTTTTAATCTCCAGTTGATATATATATATGTATGATTTGGTGATGTCCAGCTTATATGTGGCTTTTCTTTTCTCCACTTTAGGACCTGTCTTGCACAGGAATAATATCGCCGACTATGCACTCAGCGCGGGCACCACAGCTATGAATGCCCAGAGGCTCTTAAGAGCTACAAAACTGAACAAACCTATCCTCTTGGAGGGCTCCCCTGGTGTGGGCAAGACGAGCTTGGTGGGAGCCTTAGCCAAGGCTTCAGGCAACACTCTTGTCCGAATCAACTTGTCAGAGCAGACGGTAAGGTTAAGTCACGCTACAGCTGATAGGGGTAGGTGTAGGGAGTAATGTTTTTATCTATTTATAGAGTTTTCTAGTCAGAAATAATCACGATGTCAGAACCCCAAATATTTTGTGGTGATAAAGACCATAGCAACATGACCCACAAACCTAATTCTCCTTTTGTGTTCATTAAACGATGACACCTGTACGCCGGCCTCTCACTGTTGCGGCCTCTCCCATTGCAGAGCGCAGGCTCCAGACGCTCAGGCTCAGTGGCCATGGCTCACGGGCCCAGCCGCTCCGCGGCATGTGGGATCTTCCCGGACCAGGGCATGAACCCGTGTCCCCTGCATCGGCAGGTGGACTGTCAACCAGTGCGCCACCAGGGAAGCCCCATAATTCTCTTTTGAGAGAGAATCACTCATTTCAGTTTTTACTGTAATACAGTCTCTCTATTCTTGTCCTTTCTAAAAATATTAATTACAGATAAAATGACCCTTTAAACTATCTTATGAAAATATGGGACAGAGATGACAAATTAAATAATCTCCTGGGATGGGGTCTGGGAGGAGGGCCTGGGCATTGTTTTTGGTGTGTGTGGTTTTGTTTTTTAAGGTCACCAATTTATTTCCAAGTACATCCAATGTTAAGAGCTATTGATCTAGAGCTCCAGTTGATAGATGCTTAGACTATTGTGATGATAAGATGCTTGGGGCATGTCTGGGCTTCTGGTAAAGAGTTGTGGGATTGATTAGTTCTCTCTTGGGGGTAAGACTAAAAAGTGCTGCAAGGCCTAAGTATTTAGCATTTTATGTTTGGGGTCTTGGGATCTAGTTAATTTTCTATGTAATGTTGGCTTTTCCCCATTTCTTCCTCCTCTCAAAGGACATCACAGACCTGTTTGGAGCAGATCTACCTGTTGAAGGTGGCAAGGGAGGAGAGTTTGCCTGGCGCGACGGCCCCTTGCTGGCAGCCTTGAAGGCAGGCCATTGGGTTGTGTTGGATGAGGTGAGAGGACGGCCCATCGTGCCAACGTGGGACTACAAGTGTGAAAAACGGGGGTGGGGGCAGAACTTTTCCAGGCTTGAGGGCATTTTGCAATGGATGATCATGCTCTTGGCTAGTAAAGGCAAATTCTCTGATGAAAAGAATCCTCCGTGGTCTCTTTTATGAATAAGAAAAGTCACTTGTCAGAAAGCATATACAGAACTCCCCCCATGTATAGGGTTGGCCAGAAAGTACATTTGGGTTTTCCCATAGCATCTTACGGAAAACCGAATGAACTTTTTGGCCAACCCAATATAACCTACAAACTCTCCTACTTATGTGAGCTAGCTTCCAGAAAAAGTGCCTCTTCACTAGTTTTATGCTCTAGTCGCTGGCAGGCTTGCTGTGTTTGTATTTATTTTCAGAGATAAACGTAGTTTGCAAATAGCGCCAACCACCTCATTTCAGCAGAGAGGCTGGGGAAAGTTATAGTAGGAGGAGACATAGAAAAATGGTGAGAAAATGGTCAGTGTTACATGTGCACATGGGATAAATTGATGACCAGAAGAACAGAGCACATCATGAGACATGTGATAAGTGCCGAATCTCTGTGACTGACAGGCAGCTAGAGAGATATGGAGAAGTGATGCACAAAATAAAAAAATTAAAGGTTGTGGCCAAAGGATTTGCGTTAGTTCGGGATGTGCGACGTCAGTTCCGGAAAAGGCGAGCAAGTAGTTGTGTAGCTTAAATGATATGAGTGATGAAAGTGCCACAGATGACTTTTGACACAGGCCCCAGCGGGTTCCCTAGATTCAGACCCCCCCCTTGCGTCTGCAGTAAGGGGGACGGATTCCTTTTCTGCTGAGCTGCTTCCTAATTACCAGATATTAAAGAGAGGGAGGGTTTTGGTTTTTGTTTTATTCCCCCCAGATTTTTTTGAAAAAGATATGTGATAGAATAATCATCAGCCAGGAAAAAAAGAGTGCGTTGTTTCAAAGCTAGAAGACTACTGACCATAGTCATATTTTGTGGAAATGCACATAGGGACTGCAAGGCATTCTGGCCTTGCAGTCACACATAAGAAGCAGCTTTTAGAACTTGACCTGTATGTGGGTATACAGCAGAGTTTGTGTTTTGAGTGCTTATGTAAGCATGACACTTGAAATTCTAATATAATCTGATTTTTGGCCCATTTGCATTTTACTGATTCACATTTCACAGTTGAATTTTCCCATGTTACCTAAAAACCACCCATACTTCACATCCCTGAGCTCTGAACTCAGCATCTGAGGACCTCCATTCAGCTCTTTTCATTTCTGGCGCTCACACACACAAATCCTCGTGTTTGTTCTTGTTGTTCACAAAACTGTTGGCATAGTTAGATCTACTTTATGTAGTTTATATCATGACTTTGAAGCCCATTTGGAGAGTTTATTCAGTATTTGAGCTGGGAAGGATGTTTATTTAAGTATGTAAAGAGCTATCTTACTTCACCTTAAAAAAATCCCAGAGCGAAAGTGAGATATCTTTGTATTGGATAGTTTCTTTTGTAAGCCATGATTTATAAAATAGGCCAATATAGGAGCAGATAATGGATACAGTTTTATTTTTGAGACTAATTTAACTGCTTTAAAATTTTTTTAACCTACATACTCAGTTTACTTAAAATTATTATTACTTATTATTTACTTAGTATTATTTACTTATTATTATTGCTATTTTATACACCCCAAAGTTCTCTAACATATATATGAAATAATAGGATGAATACACATCAGTTCAGCTTGAGAAGCAGTGTTACCAATGGTGTTTGAACTCCTTCCCCCCTTGAGGATAAGACTACTTTTTGTGCATATTATTCTTTTGCTTTTTATAACAGCTATACAGCATATAAAATTATATGCTCTTTCTTCTCCAAATAGCTTAACCTGGCTTCGCAGTCAGTCTTGGAAGGACTCAATGCTTGTTTTGACCACCGAGGAGAAGTCTATATTCCTGAGTTAGGAATGAGCTTTCAAGTGCTGCATGAGAAGACGAAGATTTTTGGTTGTCAAAATCCTTTTAGACAAGGAGGCGGAAGGAAGGGCTTGCCGAGGTCTTTCCTAAATAGGTTTACTCAGGTAAGATATGCTGTTGCCCCAGAAACCAAAGGTGGTGTTGGGCAATAATACTGCTGACACATAGCTATGAGGGTGCCCACTATGAGAATGAGACAGGCTCAGTGTAATGATCTGCTTCTCGATTTCTTATCTTTATATCTTGGATATCAATGTGACTGATTCCCATAATCACTTCTCTCCTGCTGCGAATCCTTTGTCTTAGGTCTCAGAGGACCTGGTATGTTATCAGTTGGAGGAAAGTAAGATGACCACCGTCTTGATTCTGTTACTGTGCTCAGAGATTAAGGCCAATCTTTGACCTTTTCAAGTGTATTTGTGATCTGTTAGAACATTAAAAGATTATTTTATAATGAAAATGCATTTAAATCTAAGTAAAATAAAGTATAAAAAACTACCATGAAGAAAAAAAAATCCAGTATTCTCCATACCAAAGTCAACCACTATTAATAGTTGGTATCTTTTCTTATTACCTTCTCATTTGCAGCAGAAGCTGTGTGTGTGTGTGTGTACACGTAAGCTTACATGTTTTAACATCTTTTTTCAAAGTTTGGCTAATGTAGTGGCTTGGAAATGCTTCTAGATGTTAGCTTTCTTTATGCCCCATCCCTTGATAATTAAGAATTTACTGAATATCTTTTAAGAAATTTATTATGAAAAATTTCAAACATATTGAAAAGTTGATCAGATTTTTAAATGGATGCTCATATACCTACCATCTGGATTTTTTAGAGCATTTTACATAATATATAGGAAGTTAAAATTACAAATATACTTAAAAAATTACTTGCATGTCTTTATCTAATTCACTAGAATGAAGCTAACAAGGAAACCCTCTTTTGCTCTATATTTCAAAGATTTTATATGATTCCGTATCCTAAAAATGCAAGAAAAGAAATTTCTATAACTGATATATATATATTACTGAGGTATTACTACTTTGGTGTTAAATAAAAATTTTACGTAAGTCACAGTAGTCATTTCTGGTGTTTGGTAAAGAGAAACGATGTCATTTTTCATGTTACTTTTGGATGTTCTAGGTCTTTGTGGATCCCCTTACAGTAATAGACATGGAGTTCATTGCCAGTACTCTGTTTCCAGCCATTGACAAAAGTATTGTTAAAAAAATGGTTGCTTTCAACAACCAAGTAAGTACCTATGCGTATTATTTGTTCTTTGTTTTTCTGATTTTCTCATTTTCTCAACATGGAACACTAAATTACCAGTCTCCATAACTAAGACAAATCACATAGACTTCTAAAAGTTTCTAGTGGAAGGCAAGCTACTCATTTGAGGGTTACAGTAATTCAGTTCTGTTGCATGTATCATTGTCAATGCTTACAGGGTATTCCTGGTGTTGAGAAGTCTGGGTTGGGAGAAGGAGACATCTGAAACAAGCCTGTTAGTCTCTGTTTTGGATTATGTATGCATTCACGGTACACTGATAGTACTTAATGCAGTGCCTAGCAGTGGGACATGCTTTCCCAGTAAGGGTATTTTCTTTTTAGATTGATCACGAAGTGACTGTCGAGAAGAAATGGGGGCAAATAGGAGGACCCTGGGAATTCAACCTCCGGGACCTTTTCCGCTGGTGTCAGTTGATGCTAGTTGACCAGTCCCCTGGGTGTTATGATCCTGGTCAGCATGTGTTTTTGGTCTATGGTGAGAGAATGAGAACGAAGGAAGATAAAGAAAAGGTGAGTTTCATACTTGCTCTTTGCATTTCTTTCCATCTGTAAGTTGATTTCTTCCTGAGGGAGAGAAGGGGTGTACTCATTAACAATACCAAACCCAGTAAAGCTGCTTGGAAATTTAGAATTTACAGGAAGAAACTAAACATTCACCTGTCTCAGAGTCTCATAGTGTAGTTTGTTTTGGAGGACACAGTTTGCTTATCCATCTAAATCCCCATGATTGCAGACCTTCTTTAACAGTATTGCCCTCCATTAATAAAGGCTTGGTCTTTATCACCTTTCCAGGCACAAAAGTGAGAAGCAGGAGGAGACGGGTGATGACCAGTAGAAGAGGAGGGCTTTCTACTTTTAAATAAATGTCAAATTGCAAAGTATTTTATCTAGAAAAGATAAATAGATGAAAAGAGAGAGAGAGGAAATTCTGTATCTAAATGGAAGTAAAAATACCCCTTTGTAAGTAGAAAACACCACCAGAATTTCCAACTTAGTAAACCAATAATGTGTGCGTTGCTTCGTGGTATTTCAAGTCCAGTTCATGGAAAATTCACAACAGTTGCAGGTGGGAGGTGCTGTCTTGACCTCTTACAGATGAGGATCCAAGGCTCAGAGTCATGGAATCTCTGCAGCAAGTGGCAGAGCCAGCTCTCCAGCACAGACCTTTCCACTTTGCCTGCTATTCCTTCTACTGTATCACAGTTGTTTACAAACAAAGTAACTTACAGATTCATGTGAGTTAGAAACAGTAACCTCCTTACTGACCTGAAGATGTGGCTGCCCATGGCACAAGTGACTTTCACACACTTTCATTCTGCTAAGAGCACAGGTCCCCTTTTATGTGGCATCCAGAGTCTAGCCCAGTGTTAACAACTCATTTATTACATGCAAAATGGCTTTCAGTATATTAGGACAAGATGTTCAGTTAGTTTTTTTTTTTTTTTCACAAATTTTAATTCACATATCATCAGCTAGTATTTTAATTTCTTCATCCACTTACTGGTTACAGTATATTAACTGTGGCAGGACTGGCCAGTGTTGGGTAATTGATGTTGGTTAGATGATGAGTCACTGTAGGGTGTGGAAGGTTTCCATCACTCCTCCAATTCATTTGCTATAGTTGACCAAATGTTTTCTGAGGGGGGAAAAAAGCTAAGTAAAGTAATAATAGAAGAAGAGAGGCTATAAAAGTATTTGTAATTTTAATTCTGGTATAATATCAGGGAGAGGAGATGATATGCTGTAGAGTGGGATATAAGGTCAGAAATCGCCTGGACCAAGGAGTAGGTAGGTGGTGGGAGCATTTTCTTCTGTGCTGCTTTTAGGCTTTTACTCCGTGTTTGATACTCATTATGATTTTATCTTTGTTGTTTTTATTTTCTGACTTCAGTCCAGTATACATTGATCAGTATGAGTATTGCTGCTTTGTTAGAAATGCACAACTTGTTGTAAATATTTTGGGTGGCTGGAATCTTTGTGGCTGCTATGGGCTAAATTAGTGTTTTTTACACACCCTTATCTTTTCCCCTCCCCAGCTCCTCTTAGATTAAAAAAAAAAAAAAAAGTGCAAGAATGAAGTACAGTTAGCAGGAAGTTTTTAACAGTATTGCTGCTAAGGAAGGGATAAGTGACTGTAAATAATCAGTCAGAGAAATTACTTTGCTTATCCTCTCTACATAAATATTTAGAAGGATAACAGTGATTTTGGAGTCAGACAGGCTTAGATTTGAAATCAGTTACCAACCGTGGGCAAATCATGTAACTCTCATGAATTCCCTAATCCATATCCATAAAATGGAAATAGAAATACCTATTTTGCAAGGGTATTAGGATCAGAAATAATCTATTAAAGCACCTAATATAATGTTTGGCACACAGTAGGTACTCAGGAAAGAGTCATTGTTCTTCATAAACTTCATGATTCTCTTCTCTTCTACCTTCCTTAGGTGGTATCTTGAATGAGGAAAGCAAATTCATTTTTCATCTTAAGATTTACCGTAGTTTCTATGGCTTTAATTTATGGTATATTCTCACTGGAATCTCAAAATAATTTGAGATTATGTGATTACTCTTTTCTTAAGCTTCAGTTTACTTTCATTCTGAAGAATTAAATGCAATCTATCTTTTTTATAAGAAAATTCAAAAAGATAAGGACTCAGAATGTTGTCATTCTCCTATTGTGTTCATGTTTACTAGTATTCATTCTAGAAGGTTTAGCTCAGAATTTGGTGATTTGTGTTTTGATTGTATCGTCTTCTTCCTTTAGGTCATTGCTGTATTCAAGGATGTGTTTAATTCAAATTCTAACCCGTACCTGGGAACCAGACTGTTTCACATCACTCCCTGTGATGTTCAGGTGAGGAGAGGAGGATAATCCTCTTTCAGTTTTCTACGGCTTCTGCTCCCACTCTCAGGCACACTTGTGAAAACTCACCGGCATGTCTTTTTCAGCTGGGCTACTCAGTGCTTTCCCGTGGCAGCTACGTTCCTCTCCCGACTCGCCGGCCCCTGTTGCTCCTGCACCAGTCTTTACAGTCTCTGGAGTCAGTTATGAAGTGTGTACAAATGAGCTGGATGGTCATCCTTGTGGGGCCAGCCTCAGTGGGCAAGACCAGCTTGGTTCAGCTCCTGGCACACCTTACTGGTCACACTTTAAAGATCATGGCCATGAACAGTGCAATGGACACTTCGGAGCTTCTGGGTGGATTTGAGCAGGTAACTGATCTGCCTCTGCATTTTCAGGCAGAACACAATAAACCGTGTGGTCTGGCTGGTGGTCTTCTGTGTTGGTGGTAGCTACAGTAGTAGCAGTGTTCTCTGATCCTGGCCATGGGCTGTGCTGGGTTCATGTGCTCTGGAAATTGCAGGTTGATCTCATCCGGCCGTGGAGGCAGCTCCTTGAGAAGGTGGAGGGCACTGTCAGGACCCTGGTAAGAGACAGCCTCCTCGTCAGTGCTGACGATGCAGAAGTAGTGCTGCGAGCCTGGAGTCATTTCCTTCTGACGTATAAACCCAAGTGTCTTGGAGAAGGTGGTAGAGGTGTCACGATGGAGATTGTCAGCAAGCTGGAAGCAGTGTTACTGCTTATGCAGAGACTCAACAATAAAATCAACTCATACTCCAAGGCAGGTATGTGTGTTTGGGTGTGTGTATCAGACACTTACCATTAGTGTCCACCCACAGGTAATATATTTGTAAATGCAATGCCCATAATTTTTTAAATGAATTTAATGATTATTAACAATCAACATTTGGAAATCTTTGTCCTAGGAAATAAAATGAAGCTGATGTAAAGCATTCAGAATTGGTGACCCTAAACAGAGAAAGCAGGAAAGAAATTGGTTACTGAGTTTGATTTATTCTGTGTATAATCAACCACAGGGACTTGTATGTAAATTTGGTTTTAGTTTTTGTTGGCCTGTTTTTTTAAACCTGTTAATAACTTCTCAAGAAATCGAGTATTTCAAACTGAAGAACAGAAGTCTAAATTGATAGCTAGGAATCTATTTTGTATAGAAGGTGGAGGAAATTCCTCAGTTTACCTGGAAATATACAACTCTCATCTTGTAGTGCAGCTTTTTGGGTGGTAATGAGCATGCCTTAGGGGAGAATTGATTAAAGGTTAAGGCCTGTCACTAAGGTTGTCTTCCTTTCCAAAACCTGCTCTTAACTGTTCATTCCTTAGGAATTCTCAGTTATTCCTTGGGAATTGTTGATTCCTTCGGGGTAAAGAAATGAGACTCCCCTCTTCCCACTGTGTCAACATTGTATCCATAGCTGTGGGTCAGATAGTTTACTTTCTTAGTTAAGACTGATTTCAATGTTGTTTTGATCTGTCATTTTCCAATTCAAACTCACCATTTGAATTTGAAATTCTTTACTCATCCATTCAAATTAATTATTAGATATGTTAGTGAAATCATACATCATTTTATATATTTTCAAAAGATAGGTTATTGTAAAACTCACCATTGAGGTTTGAATTCCTACTGAATGGTGGACACTATGTTAAATACGTTTACTTTTAACCCTCACAACAACACCATATTACAAGGAAAAATGAACCCCATTTTATACATGAGTAAATGGATGCTCACAGAGGTAAAATAACCTGCCCAATGCCTTCTTGCTACCGAGTGGTTAGACTAGGTTTGGGCTCCAGTCCTCTCTGACTTCAAAGCCTGCAATCTGGTGTGTATGGATTTCTTTCATAAGTCTGTTAAAATGTAAATATCTAGGGAAGTTCTCACAGCCCATTCTCAATACTGCGCTTTTTTTTTTAAATTTATATATTTATTTTGCTGAATCAGGTCTTAGTTGTGGCATGTGGGATCTTTCGTTTTGGTGCGCAGGCTCTTCGCTGTGGCGCACGGGCTCTAGAGCGCTCTGGCTCGGTAGCTGCGGTGCACGGGCCTAGTTACCCTGCAGCATGTGGGATCTTAGTTCCCCGACCATGGGTTGAACCCACGTCCCTCTTATTGGAAGGCAGATTCTTAACCACTGGACCGCCAGGGAAATCCCAATACTGCTTTTTATTTAGGATTGACTTTCATATTGAGTAATTCATTTCTTAGGGATATTGATAGAATGAAAGAGGCTGGGTCTAAAATAGTTTGTCTACTACTATTTTACTTTTGGTTAAAAATTTCTTCTTCTTTATATCTTTTAATGTCCCTATGATGAACATGTATGACTTTTAAAATCTATTCTAGTTTCATATTTTATCTTAAATCTTTGTACATATTGAGCATATATATAATAGCTCTATTAACATCAGAATGCAGCCCTTAGGGACTTAAAGAAGCAAGAAAGTATATCTAGGAATTTTTATTAGATTCTGGGCATTTTGAATTTAAGTTGCTAAGTGCTGCATTTTGTTTTTTTGAGGTTTTCTTTGGGGGGAATAAGGCAGTTGAGTTGCTTATGGATCATTTTTATCTTTTCAAGCTTGCACTTAAGCTGTTTAAGGTCAAGTCTGGAGTAACCTTTACTGTAGGGTTAAATTAGCCCCACTCTTGAGGCGTGGCCCTATGGCATCTCTACTGAAGGTCCTGTGTGTTCTGTGGAGTCTCTTCGCTTTGACTGGTGGGAACTGGAGTGTTGTGCAGCCCCGTGTGATCTCTGAGAATTGTTCAGCTCACAGCTCCCCGATAACTGTCCTTTCCTTGGAAGTTTTTGCTCATGCTTGTGGAGTTTCAGCCTTCACATGCACGTGTAGGTTATTATTGAGCCAAAGACTCCAGGAGCCCTCATCTGGATTTCTGGAGCCATCCCTTTGAGTAACTCTTGCCTTTTGAGCACCCTGCCCCTCATTCTAGTTGCTGTAGCCTCCCTGAATTCAAGTCTGTGACCTCAGGTCATTGAGGCCTTGGGATCTGTTTGAGTTTCCCCTCCCCGCTTTGGAGTCTAGAAGTTGCTTCCAGGCGGAAAGCCGGCCATTATAGGACCTCCTTCCCTCAGGTGTCACAGTCCTGTACTGTTTTCCAGCATCGGAAAGCAGTTGTTTCATGTATTTTACCAGTTTTCTAATCGTTAAACACTGGGAGGTTAAGTCTCAACCTTACTATTCCTTCATGGCTGGAAGCAGAAATCCAACATGTATTACCTTATGATATGAAAAAGGGTCAGGAAACAATTTCTTCTCTTTCTTTTTTAAAAAAATTAATTTTATTTTATAGGAGTATAGTTGATTTACAATGTGGTGTTTCAGTTGTACAGCAAAGTGATTCAGTTATATATGTACATATATTCGTTCTTTTTTAGATTCTTTTCTCATATAGGTTATCACAGAATATTGAGTAGAGTTCCCTATGCTATACAGTAGGTCATTGTTGGTTATCGGTCTTATGTAAGGAAACAGTTTCTAATAAGAAAGATCAATTGAAAAAATTCTGGGAAAGGGCTATCTAAACTATGAAGCAAATAAATACCGGTTGTTACTGTATATGATATGGTCATTACAAAGGATGCCCTGTTTAATGACACTGATTGCATTGTGCCAACTTAACAGCACTTACTATAGTATAAATGCAGTAATAGGTGGAAGACATTATCTTTCCGCATTTGAAAAATTAAAACACATAATTTCCCTTCTCCATCACCCTTGAGTCAGCTTTATCTAGCCATTCATTCAGAAAGCCATTAAGTATTTTCTATCCCCAAACCTAATTTTCTTACTTGTTTTGTTCAAACAAAAACGAAAATCTTTTTGTTTACCCTATTATGAAACTTTAAAGAACTGGGCCAGAAGTTTCCAGGCTTCTTTTAATAAACTCTAGTTTTTTGTTTTATTTGTTTGTTTGTTTGTTGTTGTTGTTGTTTGCGGTACGCAGGCCTCTCACTGCTGTGGCCTCTCCCGTTGCGGAGCACAGGCTCAGCGGCCATGGCTCACGGGCCCAGCTGCTCCGCGGCATGTGGGATCTTCCCGGACCGGGGCATGAGCCCAGGTCCCCTGCATCGGCAGGCGGACTCTCAACCACTGCGCCACCAGGGAAGCCCTATTTGTTTGTTTTTGATTGCCCTGGTTTGAAATTAAATACTGTGGCTGTGACGTTTCAGAGTTTGCCAAACTTGTGGAAGAGTTCCGAAGCTTTGGTGTGAAGCTTACGCAGTCAGCCAGTGGCCGAAGCTGTGGCACGTTCGAATGGGTTGACAGCATGTTGGTTCGGGCCCTGAAGTCTGGAGATTGGCTTTTGATGGACAATGTTAACTTCTGCAAGTAAGGACCTTCTTCTATTCAATCATGAGTGGTCTGATTGAAATTTGAGATATGCTTGTCAAAGTAGAAACCCAGGTGGAAGCTCTGTTTTTGTTTTTCCTCCCTCCCTCTTCACCTGGTGTGCGCAGGTGTTGCGGTGCGCGGGCTTCTCATTGCGGTGGCTTCTCTTGTTGCGGAACATGGGCTCAGTAGTTGTGGCTTGCAGGCTCTAGAGCGCAGGCTCAGTAGTTGTGGCGCACGGGCTTAGTTGCTCCGTGGCATGTGGGATCTTCCTGGACCAGGGCTTGAATCCGTGTCCCCTGCATTGGCGGGCGAATTCTCAACCACTGCGCCACCAGGGAATTCCAGCTCTAGCATTTTTTTTTTTTTTTTTTTTTCCTTGCGTTATGCGGGCCTCTCACTGTTGTGGCCTCTCCCATTTGCGGAGCACAGGCTCCGGACGCGCAGGCTCAGCGGCCATGGCTCACGGGCCCAGCCGCTCCGCGGCACGTGGGATCCTCCCGAAACGGGGCACGAACCCGCGTCCCCTGCATCGGCAGGCGGACTCTCAAGCACTGCGCCACCAGGGAAGCCCATCTAGCATTTTTAATCCACTGTTTTCTTAGCTAGAAACACATCCTCAGCTATATTCTATAGACTCCTCCCAGTGGTGAACAATGGTAGTTGGTTATTAGCTACGATATTTTAGTTCTAGCAGATAGTTTTGAGCTGAACCAAAGGCTAACAAAATTGGATTACTTCTCCAACTAACATCCTTTGAGTCACGCCTTTGTATTTAACAGCAGAAAGCTTCCTTTTGTTAGGGTTTTTTTTTTTTTTTTTTTTTTTTTTTTTTTCTTTTTTTTTTTTTTTTTTTTTTTTGCCACGCCACGCAGTTTGTGGTATTTTAGTTTCCTGACCAGGGATTGAACCCCAGCCCACAGCAGCGAAAACGCTGAGTCCTAACCACTGGACTGCCAGGGAATTCCCTGTTAGGGTCATTCTTAAGTATCAATTTTTGAAATGGAGAGTCTGACACAGGGCAGACATCTAGTGAATGTGCATTCAGTGTATACCACTTGATTCTAAAATAAGGAAAAGGGCAAGTGTAAGACTACTCTGCCTGTACAGTGAGCATAATACAGGTCAGGTGATGGGCTTTTCTACCTGGAGCATTTTCAGAATGTTTCAAATTAAAATCGTTACCTTTAAATGATTTGATAATATTGGGAAGTGGGGGAGAGGGAAGGGGAAAGAGAAGACAGTTTTATTAGTTCAGGGAACTTTCTGTCATTTTCCTTGATTTATTCAACAAACATTTTGTATATTTACTGTGTATGAATCACTGGGCTGTGTGCCTTGGGGAGTGAAAATGGGCATTGATAGGAAAAGAGATCTTGGAAGAATCACAGTTCTGTATGGGGACGTGATCTGTGCTGAAGGGAAGACATGGGTCAGGCACAGTGAGAGGCCTGAGCCAGGGCAGTAGTCAGTGTGGCACGCCAGCCTGTCCCCCATTTGGATTCTCTCTATGCAGCCCATCGGTGCTGGATCGTTTGAATGCTTTGTTGGAACCCGGAGGTGTCCTCACTGTTAGTGAGAGAGGAATCATCGATGGATCCACTCCCACCATAACACCAAATCCCAATTTCAGGTATCTATGCCTCTTAAGTTTGTGCCTCAGAATCTGACAGCCTTGGTGTCAGAGGTGACCATTCATTAGGGCCACCTTACGTATCGTATTTGTACACTCAGTCATGAGCATGTTCATACATTCATTGATTTAACAAAGATTTACTGAGGCTCTGCCATTTGCCAGGTGCTGGTGTGCTTTGGGGGGCACAGCAGTAAATAAGAAAAATGAGGTCCCTGCCTTGGGTTGGTGGTGAAGGCTGGAAGCAGGGAGACCAGTTACAAGCCTTTTGCAGTTCAGGTGAGAGATGACAGCTTAGACTAGGGCTGTCAGATCAGTGGGACTTGCTCATGGGCTTGTGGGTTAAGAAAAGGAGGAAGCAAAGATGGCATCTAAGGTTTTGGCTTGAGTAATTGGGTACAGGGGTGCCATTCGTTGAGAAAGGGGAGACTGGCAAAGGAGGAGGTTTGGTGTGGGGAGGGTTAGCAGCAATCAGCTGTTTAGCTTTGGAGGTAAGTGTGAGCTGTCAGATAGCTAGATGCAGAAGTTGATGGACATTGAATGTTACGAAGCTAAGTGTTTCTGGAGAATACACTGCTCCTTTTTCTTTTCTCTGTAGGTGAGTTAGAATAATTGATGAATTAGTACTGCCTGATGTGGGGAATATCTGAAAGTAAGAATTTTACAGTCCTCAGTACTAAAGGTGCACTGGGTATACAATACTTAGTTCCTTAGGAAAATAGGTTTAGAGAAACTGATTTGCTGTATTGATGCATTTTGGAACTAGAGGATAGAATGCATATGTCAACAGCATCTGTACGTTGAATTAGCAGTGTCACTTTAGATGAGCTCCCTGAAGATGAGCCACATATGATTTGCCCTCACCAATTGTTGCTGAGCTGCACTGTCAGTTGCACTGAGATTTTGATTTTTTTTCCTTTGAATTGCTATACTGCTAGACTTTTTCTCTCAATGGATCCTGTGCATGGAGAAATATCCCGAGCTATGAGGAATCGTGGACTTGAAATCTACATTTCAGGAGAAGGGGATGGGAGCATCCCAGATGACCTGGATCTGAAAGTCCTACTGCACAGCCTTGGGTTGGTGGGGGGCAGTGTGTGTGACATCCTTTTGGCTTTGCACTCAGAGACCCGAAGTGCTGTTGTAGGTAAGGTGCTTGACTTCTAGGCCTCTGCAGGGTTTTCTTCCTCTGGAAATTCATGTTATTCCATTTGACTGCTAGTTCAGGAGTTCTTACATTTTGTGTACATGGAAATAGAAATTACCAGGAAAGCCTGTTAATAAGGTAGATGCGCTTGGTACCCTTCTTCCCCAAGAGACTGGGCTCAGCAGGTCTGAGTGAGGCACAGGAATCAGCATGTTAAAGAAGCTTCCTGGGGGATTCTGATGCATGCAGTCAGAGACCCACACTCAGAGGAATACCTGTACTGCTTTTCGCACTGAAATTGATGAAGTTTGTCCTGCAAATCTTCACGGTCATCATTGAATCTCTTGAAGGTTGAATAAAGAGGGAGTTTTGAGTTGTTTAAAACAGATAGGTGTTACTTCTTCTAAATGTCCAAATACACAAGAAAGAGCAGTAATAATAACAATAATGAAAAAATAATGAAATGTTACTTAAGTAACTACTCTGTGTTAGGTGCAATATTGGCTGCTTATTTAGTCCTCGTATTAGTTCTGCAAGGTGTATTTCCATTTTACAGATAAGGCTTAGAGAGGTAGTAGATTAACTTGTCAAATCCAAACAGTTAATAATGACAGCTGGGATTTGAAAGCAGGTCTGCTGGATTTCAAAGCCCATGGTTCTTTTTGGCACCATGCTCATTTTGCCCCCTTCAGTGTGTGTCAGCTTTAGATCCAAGGGTCTGTGTGGCCAGGCTTTATCATATTAGTAAATGAGTCATCTAGTCACTTCCCCAAAAGGTACTGCTGACAGAGAAGGAGGGGAGGAGGGCGGAATAGGAGGCAAGGAATGTGAATGTTCCTACAAGTTCATTGTGTGCTAGTGAGCCCCTATAGTCCACTTGGAAGGCTTTCTAAAATAAATATCTGGGTGGATTTGAGTGGAAGTTTGATGTGAAAGTGAAATTTGTCAATTTTCATTGGAGATTTTTCAGAATCTGTTGCTCATGGATGGCACTATTTCTTCTTTATAGGTTCTCCAGCGTCCTCGTTGTCAACACTCATTCAGACAGCCTTACTCATTGTGCAATACCTACAGCGAGGGCTGAGCTTAGACAGAGCCTTTTCTGAAGCATGCTGGGACACATATGTCCGCTCCCAGGCTTCACCAGCAAACCAGAAGGTACTGTGAAGTGTTTCACACAGCTTTCTACGTTATAACATTACAGGTAATAGGAGGAAACTTTATTGGTGGCAACTTTAATGACCTAAGAGAGCCATCTGCAGTTATGCTCTAACAGAGATCTGGTATCCAGGCACTTTTCTGGAAAATAGCGTAAATGTAAATATTCCTTGAAACTTGCCTCTCAGCAGAAAACGTGAAATTTAGCTTGTAATGTTGTATATTGAGGAATGTGCCTGAGTGTTGTGAGAGGATCACAAGGGGTCTAGAAAACTGCTGTTGCCCTGCTAGTTTTTGGTAAGAGTACTTGTGCCTCGGTGCCTGTACACCATGTGTTTTTTATCTCCTACCAGCTTGTGCAGGCTTTACTGGAGAAACACGTTTGTTCTCTGCAAGCACATGAAACCTGGGGCAACTCCATTCTTGCCATGGGGCTGTGGCCAGATTCTCTGCCCTCGGCTCTCTCTGCTACGGAAGATTCTCATCTCTCTAAAGTCCAAGGCGATGGACAGATCTTAGTATATTGTCTCAACAGGCTGAGCATGAAAACGAGCAACTGGGCAAGGTTAGTGGAGCCTTGAGCGTCTGTGTCTCTTTGGCATCTTGACTTTTCCTCCCTCCCTCCCTTCCTTTCTTCCTTCTTTCCTTCCTTCCTCCCTCTCTCTCTTTCTTTCTCCCTCTCTCTTTTTTTGATGGTAATGGTCATGACCCAACATATTTGACCAGAATGTTATGTGGCCATTTTCCACACAGTTCCATTGTTTGTTGTGATACTGCTCCCTATTTATTATTTATTATAGGTACGTGTTTTAATTGTCCCCCTTTGGAGGGACTCATGTTTTCTCTGTTAACCTTTTTGATACACTCATTGTAAAGTTATTGTCTTGGTTCTTTGAAATATGAAAATTTAACCCTAGTACTAACTTTGCCTATTGCAATGAATTTCAGGATTCAGCCTCTTACTTTGCCAGACTTAGAGGAAATTATGCAGTCCTCCCACCCGGAGAGCTTAAAATTCAATTCAGTTGAAATGGATACTTACTGGATTGATGAACCAGATGCTCTGGCTGTGGCTGTTAAATTGCTCATAGAAAGAGCAACCAATCAAGACTGGATGCTCAGAGTTAAATGGCTTTATCATTTAGCCAAGAATGTGCCACAGGGGCTTGGTGAGTAGAGAAACTTAATTTGTGTAATGAGGGAATTTAAGTACACTTACCCGGCTTTAGTAACTCAGCAGTTGTTTTACTCTCCGACTACACTGTTAAAATTACATCTGGGGAAGCTCCTAGCAGGACGTTTATGACTTAACATTACTGCTTATATAGCTGTTAAAATATTAAGGAACACATCTGCCCTTAGATGTTCCCTGAGATAAATTTTTTTTTCTCCACATAATCCTTAGCATTTCAGGATCCATCCAGCTTTCTATCAAATCCATAAGGAAAATGTACTATATTATGTTACTTTTAAGTTTTTGAACATCCTGCTTTTTTTGCTGTACTTACTCTGCTGCACGCGCGTTCTATCTGGGAAAGGGTTGCTTTTGTTAAATTTACTTCCCATAAAAGTACATAAGATTCTAATCTTATTTTCGTTCCAGTGCTCTAAGTGGTCGTGCTTGATTTCTTTGTACTTTTTTCATTCCAAGAGAGGGAAAAGCAACAGTTAACAACATTGTGCAGATTGTAAAGTACAGGACGTGGCATTTGTTGGTAGAACTTGTTGACTAAAGTAATTGTTTACATGAGTCTCTGCTGCATGAGAACTTGTAGATAAGCCAGCCTATGTGTATATTATTGTGTGGTACATGTGATGTCTAAACGTGTAGAGAAAAATTGTATAAATGTTCGTATCTGCGGTGTCCTATGTGATAGCTACTAGCCAGAGGTAGCCACTAAAATGTGACATGCGACATGGCTACTGTGACAGCAGCTGTGGATCAGAAAGTTCAAATGGACAGCACTGCTTTAGATGCTAACATTTGCTTCTCCTTCCTCCACAGAGTCAGTACAGATTCATTTGGAAGCCAGTGCTGCATCTCTTAGGAATTTTTACTCAAATTCTCTCTCATCTGGGGTCAGTAATGTCATCAAAATATTACAACCAAATGTAACAGGTACTGCACCTGACTTGATTTCTAGCTCTCAGCACTCTGGGAAACTTGTCCATTGAGTTCATGGGAAAAAGATCTGTTACAGCTCCCACTTATAACAGTTTTTTCTAAAGAAGACTCAGGGAATCCAGATGCAAATTCTGCTGCTTTTTTTGAAATTATGCATTTATTCTTCAGTTTCTGAAAGAGGATGATGACACACAATGTAGTGGGAAGAACACAGGAGTTGGAAGACTGGGCTCCGGTTCCAACTTGGCCACAAACTGGCTTGTTGATTTGGGGCCCATCATTCACACTTGCTGACTTTGTTTGAAAAATATGGGAATTAAATTCATTCTTCTGGGGTCCCTTTCACTTATGACTTTCTGTGATATACTAGTACTGTTAACAGAAACTGATCTATTTTGAGATGAAGGGGAAACAGTACAGGATCAGTTTCTTCAGAAAGTAGAAAACCTTAATGATGAAGTTATAAAGCCTTAAATACAAAGTTACAAAACAAAATCATAATGATAAAAGGAGTAGCCGTCTGAGCCATCTAATCAAATGAGGTGTTCAGAATTTCTCAATCTTTATCTGATGTTGATCAAAACATACTGTTACCCATTTGGTTTAGAAAAAAATATGCATGATGCTTTTGTGTTAAACCTTATGTTTACATAATTATAATCTTATGTATACTTATAATTACCTTATGTACACTAAAGGTAATGGGCTAAATGGTTGAGCAGAAATCAAACAATAGAGAAAACTTCTGTAGTAGTCAGATTGCAGCTGGACCTAATTATGGCTTTCCAATTATGAAGGAATTTTGGTCTTTGGGAACACAGTTCTAGAGTAGAGTGGTAGGTTCCCTTTGTAGCAGACATGGCTTGCCCTCTGTTGGCACTCATTAGCTCGTCTTCCTTTTTTCCCTTTCAGCTGTGTAGCTCTGGATTGTGTAGTCTTGCTGGACTTTGGGATATGGGCCCCCATGTGTACCTTGCTATTCACAATAGGTATTTGTTAGACTACTCTATGGTGGATGCCTTTAAAACTTGAAGTGCTCCACTGACCCATCCAGCTTGGCCACCATCAAATTAATGTTCCCATCGTTTTGGTCTTACCTCTTCCGCTGGGCTCTCAACCTCTGGAGCGGGTCAGAGTCTGATCGCTGCTGCTTTAGAGAAGAGATACTGAGCTTGAGCCAAAGGAGCAAGAGGTAGCAGCAGCACATCCTGTGATTATAAAGAAATGGTTTTTAAGGGAAATAATCTTGAGTTGTTTTTCTTACTGAAAGCAAATAATGAGATGTTCATTCATTTTCTGCCATGTAAGTTCGTTTTTTTATGGTTAATGGCGAAAGATTGGGTAATTAAGCCCATGGATTCTTTTCCAACCAGAAGTGGGAGCTGAGCAAATGAATACATTTCTTGGAACGTTTATGCTCTAGCAGAGGTTACCTTTCTATCCTACAGTGGAATGAATTTTCAGGACTAGAAGAAATTTTGCCTTTAGAAAGTAAATAGCGTAAAAGCTGTTGAACCCTAGTTTTCTACTACCATGGACTGAAACCATTTCCTTGGTCCCTCTTTTCCCCGGCAGGACTCAGTAGGATCAAAGTAAAACAATGAAAATCCTCAACTGAAATTTGCCAGGCAAGGAGTTTAACTCCAAAATTCTACCTTTTGTTCTTTAAACCAGATGAATATGTGATTCCTCTGGATCCCCGATGGAATATGCAGGCTTTGGACATCATTAGAAATTCGATGGACTTTGACCCACAAATGGACCAGCCTGAGCAGCTCTTTGTCCTTTTAGAGTCTGTTGCAAACAGGTAGGTGAAGTCTACTGTTCTGGGTGCTGTTTGCCTTGTTGTACACTATGGCTTCACAGATTATACCTTTCCTAAGCTATACTTGACAGTCTTATGTGTGTTTAATTTTCTGAACCTGAGAAGTGGTGGGTGTCAGACATGATTGCTTTGTCACCACCTCTCCTTCACGCTCCATGTGCAGCAAAATCATTCTGACCCTGATGTCCAGGTGCCTGGGAATGTGACAGGTTCTTAATAATTTAATTGGGTACTTTAATAAATACACTAGTGAAGCATTAGTGGTGGAATTTGTTTTGTGGTTAATCTTTTATCATAGGATAGTTGTGTTTCCACTGTTTTCTGTGTGATTCCCAGCAACTCCTTGCATTTCCACATGTCCTTTCCTCAGCCATCTGTCTGCCCCATCCAATGTTGGAGATGTACGTACACAGTGACCTATAGTATAAATTTACATAACTGTTATATAAGTTGATCTTTCCTCACCTTTAATGTAATGACCGGTAATATTTTTTCTTTTTCTTTCTTTTTTTTTTTTTTTTTTTTTTTTCTTTCCCCCCACCTAAACTTATTCCCACAATTTTTTTTTTTTTTTTTTTTTTTTTTTTTTTTTTTTTTTTTGCTATCCCCCAACCTGAACTGATCCTGCCAATTTATTTTTTTTATTTATTTATTTATTTTTTTTAAGATGTGGGGGTAGGAGTTTATTAATTAATTAATTTATTCATTTTTGCTGTGTTGGGTCTTCATTTTTGAGCAAGGGCTTTCTCTAGTTGTGGCAAGTGGGGGCCACTCTTCATCGCGGTGCGTGGGCCTCTCACTGTCGCGGCCTCTCGTTGTGGAGCACAGGCTCCAGACGCGCAGGCTCAGTAGTTGTGGCTCACGGGCCTAGCCGCTCCGCAGCATATGGGATCCTCCCAGACCAGGGCTCGAACCCGTGTACCTTGCATTAGCAGGCAGATTCTCAACCACTGCTCCACCAGGGAAGCCCCCGATAATATTTTTTAATTGGCCATTAGTGTAATAGATTTAAAAAATAATTTTGTAATTGAGGTATAACGTGCATTACAGAAAAGTACAGTAATGATGATTATATATCGTTTTGATGACTTTTCACAAAGTGAACTCACTCATGTGATAATGTAGTAGTAGCACCTCTGAGGCCCCCTTGTCCCCCCTCCCAGCAACTACCCCTTCCTCCTCCCCAGGTAACTTCTAGCACTGCAGGTTAATTGTGAGATGGCCAGTTTTAAGAGTTCACAGCATAGTTTGTCATGTCATGGCAGAGCAACACAGTGGGGCTGGGTGGTCTACCTAGACCTGTCTTCCTCCCCCGCAGCTCAGTTGTCATCCCTCTTGCTGCCGTCTCTCTAGTCCAGAATTTGCAGAGGCACGAGGGTAATGGCAGGTTGAAGGAGATTGATGTTCCAAGGGTTCTCAGGATTCAGCCGGTAGAGGCTGTAATAAGTATTATTAACCAATAACTATTTGTTATGTTATGAATTCTCATTTCAGGTCAATCATATATCTTGATCGGGAAAAACGGATTTTTACGGAAGCAAATTTGGTTTCTGTTGGTGGCAAAAAGTTAAGAAATAGTGTTTTGAGAATGTCCTTTGAATTCCATAAAGGTAAGGACATTACCTTTACTTTCTTCATTTATGCTTCTGACTGCATAATGTTGCTGAAGGTGAGAGGGATTTCGCAGCTGATGCCGTGGTACTGATTCCTTTTGATTTGCTAGCTTTGAACATCTTCCCTTATTCAGTAGTTTTGACTAAGTACTTTTTTACATGTCCTTGATCTCATTTACTTTTTATAGCAACCATGAGATAAGCCTCATGAGAGAGGAAAGGGAGGCACAGAGATGCTCAAGGTCACATCTCTAGCAAGTAGCAGAGCCAGAACTTGAAACTTGTTCTGTTGGCTCAAAAGTATGAGCTCATAAGCATTTGCTTATAGGTTCTTTCTTCCTCCCTCCTTTTTTTTTTAAATTGAAAAGATAACGGTATTTCTTGGAAAATATTCAAACTATATAGAAGCATAAAAATGGAAAAAGTCTCCTCTCACAGCAGCTACTATTAATAGTATATTTGTTTATATCTTCTCAGATCTGTCTGTATTATCTATCCATCCAGTCATATACACACTTAGAATTCGTATTTAAACATGCTTTTTTTAAAATTAAGACGTTATGAACATCTCTAGGTATGCACCACTAACTTGCTAACTTAATAATAGACAAAGATTTGCTTTCAATTTTGACGTTTCAAATTGACCCTTGTACTGAGAATAACATTAAGTTGTAGATTACTGTTGATTTTGAAAATGTCCAGAGATTTAAATCTGATCGAATTGTTCTTATTTTGTTTATACCAACTCTATAAGATCCAGAGAGCTATCACAGCCTGCCCCATGAAATCGTGGTCAATCTTGCTGCTTTTTTTGAACTTTGTGATGCACTAATCCTGCTCTGGGTACAGTCCTCCCAGGGGATGGTGTCTGATGCCAGTGTTAATGAGGTAAGGAGATGTACCTGTTTTTATCTTAAGCAACATATTTCTTGGCACAAAGATTCTTAGGGGCAAGACCAACTTCAGTGTTGTTACATGTACAATATTATTTGAGAAGTTCTTAAGAATTTAAATAGATACACATATTTTAAAGCTTTATGGGGTTATAACTGACATATAGTAAGTCGCATATAAAGTGTACAGTTTTGTATGTTTGACACGTGTACACCCGTGATACCATTACCGCAGTCCTGACAGTGAACCTATCCATCACCCTCAGACCTTTTCCTCTTATTCTTTTGTTTTCTCTTCTTTTTTCCTGCCCCCCACCTCCAACCAGGTATCCACTGATCTGCTTTCTGTTACTGTAGCTCAGTTGTGTTTTCTAGTATTTTATATTGTTCGTTTTTATCTGGCTACTTTCACTGAAAATCATTTTGAGGACTTCCCTGGTGGTCCAGTGGTTAAGACTCCACACTTCCAATGTAGGGGGCACAGGTTTGGTTCGATCCCTGGTCAGGGAACTAAGATCCTATATGCCGTGTGGTGCAGCCAAAAAAATAAAAATAAAATAAAAATGAAAAAAAAATTTTTTTAAATCATTATTTTGAGATGCATCCATATTGTTTTGTGTCTCAAGAATTCATTCCTTCTTATTGCCAAGTAATAGTCCACTGCATGTATGTACTACATCTTATTCATCCATTCACCTATTGATAAACATCAGAATCTTAACAGTTATATTTTAATTCACTTAATCCTTCTTAGACATGATTGTCACATATGGACTAAATTGGGCTTGAATCCAGATTATTCGAGTAATTCTGGTTAAACTAGAATTGTAGATCTTAAACTTTTTAGTCTCAAGCCCCCCCCCCCCACCACCCATGGTCATAAAAGTTACCAAAACCCTCAAAGAACTTTTGTTTATGTGTTTACATGTATCAATATTCACTTTATTAGGAAATAAATCTGAGAAATGTAAAAAATATTAATATGTTTAAGAAGCACAGTAACCAATTCATTTCATGGTAATATGAATAACATTTTTAATGAAAAACAACTATTTTCCAAAAGAAAAACTAAGAGAAGTGGAACTGTTTTACGTTTCTGCGAGTCTCTTTAATGTCTGACTTAACAGAAGAAACCTGGATTCTCACACCTGCTTCTGCATTCGGTCTCTTACAGTATGTTGTATGGATTGAAGTTTGTGAAGAAAAACTGGCCTCTATTTCATGTGGCTAAGAGGTTGGAAAGGGAGGAGTATTTAACAAACATTTCACATAACTGTGATATTCTTCTTTGATTCTATACCACAGGTTGACAAGTGTTAGTTTTGTAAAGGTTACTTGTAATGTGGAATCTGAAAAAGTATCACTGATCTTGTCATGCGTTAAAATCCGTTGGCCTGGCTTGCATTTTGGATGGACTTTTAGCCTTGCATGTATGTTCTCATGCACTGGTAATTTGGAAAGTATTGTTCAGTGAGTCATCAGATCTTCCAAGTGTTGACACATTACATTTTCCAATATAGATAAATTTAAAAAGTCACACTCATGAAAAATTACCACAAAATTTACCTCATGAAAAAATCTGTAAGTATTGGGAAGTTGTCAAGCTCTTAGTTTTTCAAAGTTCTAGGTTTTACTTGAAGGTTTGAATTCTGTCATCAGCAACAAATACTCTCCTGTTTTTCTTGAACTGACAGGTTGACTTCATTCATTTTCCACACAGTGTTTGCCAGACACCCAATCACAGTGTTTCCCCCCCCCCCCCCCCCCCCCCCCGTTGTTGGTACCATCAGTGCAAATGTCAATGTAGCGAAAAAGGCAAATAACGTGACATTATTGTGAAAACAGCTTTGACATCATAAAACCTAAAAGGAATCACTAATCTTGAGACTACTGTAAAAGTACATAATTAGAAGGACAGCTGAGTTGGAGACTCACAATACCTGATTTGCGTTAAGAAGCTACATAAATGAAAACAGTAGTTATTGTCATAAGGATAGACATATAGACCATTGAAACAAAGAAGAGACTTCGGAAATAGACCCTCTTATATGGTCAGTGAAGTTTTGGGGTGGGGGGCAAGTATGCAAAGGTAATTTAATGGGGAAAGCAGTTCATTCAGCAAATGGTGATGGAAAAACTAGATATCCATATAATAAAATAAAAATGAGCCTTTACCTGCTACCTTACATCATATAGAAAAGTTACCTCAAAATGGATCATAGACCTATGTATAAAAGCTAAAATTATGAACCTCTAAAAGAAAACATAGGAGAAAATCTTCACAGCTTGAGGATAGGCAAAGATTTCAGGGCTTTCTTCATAAAAGAAAAAAATTGATGAATTCAATTTTGTCAAAATAAAGAACTTAATAGATAGCTTTAAGAAAAGGAAAACACTGGGAGACACTGTTGATAAATCACATGTAAATTTTATAGACAAATAATAAGCCCAATTTTTTAAAATGAACAAGAGAATTTGAATAGATGCTTCTCAGAAGAAAAGTATACCCAGTGAGAACTTGGAAAAATTGCAACATCATTAGTTATCAAGGAAATGTAAATTAAAACCACATTTCGGTGCCACCCACCAGAATGGCTAAAATTAAAATGGTCAACAGCAGCAAGTATTGGCAAGGAAGTGGAACAAACTGAAACCCACCTACACTACTGGATGGGATACAAAATAGTGCAACTGCTTTGTCAAGCAGGTTAGTGGTTTCTTATAACATTGCGTGTACACTTACCACATGACCCAGTAATTCCATTTTCTCTGATAACTGAACTTCAGATAATAGAAGGAAAGAGCTTTGCCTTCTCTGACTGCCTTAATATCCCTAAAAATCCTCCAGTTGGATGCTAGATCTTTAATGTGTGTGTGTTGAGTATTGATTAATGATTGAAGTCAGTGTTTTGTGTCCTTTACTGGGAGATGTTTTTGAGCAGTTTTGGTTTACTTTGTTTTTAGATCTTGGGTTCTGTGCGGTGGCGGGACCGGTTCTGGACCGTGGCCGATACAGTAAAAGTGGATGCACCAGGCCTGGCCTTGCTTGCCCTTCACTGGCACTGGGTTTTAAAACATTTGGTTCGTCAGATCCCCCAACTCCTGATGAACCACGAAGACAAGTAAGAGTCATATTTAGAGTAACAACGTCAGTATCTACAGTATTGATGTTAAAGGGAGGAGGGTTAGGAATTGAAACGTGCTTCTTCTTGGCTTTACTTTGGTTTGTCCCCTTGGCCTGTTGGTGAATGTAAATCAAATATAAAATGTGAGTGATGTTCTTACCATCCAGCATTTCCCCCTTTCCTTACTTCCCTTCTGCCCTTTATCTCCTCTGTTAAAGATATTACAAAGAGGTTCAGACCGTCTCAGAACATATTCAGAATTGCTTGGGGAGCCCAACTGGTGGATTCACGGGTATAAAGAAGTTACAGAAGTTTCTGGGACGACCGTTTCCTTTTAAGGTACGACTTGAAAGCATGTAGTAAACACAAAGATTTGACCTCTTTGGCAGCTCTCCTGGAACTGGCGACTGCCATTCAACTATACTCAGCCTTGCTTGCAAAGCTTAATTCTTAAATGTTCAATGAGTACTATTAACTGACTTGTTAAATGTTATCATTTTACTTATTCTTGAGACTTTTAAGGCTGAGTAGACTTTTAACTTTATTACTGTGAATATCCTGAGATCTACAGGCGTAAACCAACTTTATGTTTTATAGAATCATTAAGGAAATATTTAAAACATTTTTTTCAGCCATGAATAGGCTGCTAAAAAGAACTACTCTTCTCCTCTGTAATAGGCTCTCCTGGGTTTTATTGTTTCAGGACAAGCTGGTGGTGGAGTGTTTTTCACAATTGAAGGTCTTTAACAAAGCCCTTGCCATCAGAGAGCGGATGCCTGCCCTTGGGGAGAGTGGATGGTGGGAAGACATTAGTCGGCTCCAAATGGTTGCTTCTGAATGGACATTAAAGAAAAGTCTCCTACGGGCCTGGGGGTTGGTCCTCAGAGCTAATACTCTGGAAGATGTCAACCCAGGTAATATGCTCTGGAGTTTGGCTAGCTGACAGATGTTCTAAGCATATCCTCTGCTCTGCAGCCAATAAGTTTTATTTATTTATTTATTTATTTATTTATTTATTTATTTATTTATTTATTTATTTATTTATTTATTTATTTGCAGCCAAAAAGTTTTTTAAAGTTTTCCCTTAGATATTGTCCTTTTATTTATTTATTTATTCCCTGTATACTATACCGACCACTATAAGTATAAGTATCAGGCATAGGGCTAAACTTTTTTTTTTTTTTTTTTAATTTTTTTTGGCCACACCATGCAGCTTGTGGGATCCTAGTTCCCTGACCAGGGATCAAACCTAGATCCACGGCAGTGAAAGCCCAAGTCTTAACTCCTGGACTGCCAGGGAATTCCCTAAACTTTACATATATTATTTAATTCTATCATTGGAATTGTGCAGGTATTAATAGCATTATTTAACACAGTGGTCCCCAACCTTTTTGGCACCAGGGACCGGTTTCGTGGAAGAGAGTTTTTCCATGGCTGGGGTGGGGGATGGCTCAGGCGGCGATGGGGGGCGATGGCGGTGGGGGGCGATGGGGACGGTGGGGGGCGGTGGGGAGCGGCAGATGAAGCTTCGCTCACTCGCCCCGCTGCTCACCTCCTGCTGTGCGGCCCAGGTCCTAACAGGCTGCAGACCGGACCGGGGGTTGGGGACCCCTGTATTAACACATGAGACACTCAGGCTCAGGTGAAGTTGAACTCAGGTTAAGCTAATGGTCGTGTGACTGGCTGTTGGGAATCTGAGCCTGACCACTGACCACTGTGTGTCTTTTTGTCCAGATGAATTGAAGAGTCTTGTGAATGCTCAGTGTTCAGAACTGAAAGCCAAAGGAATTTCACTTGGTTTTCTGGAGAAAAAGCACAGTGAAGCTTCCTCCCTGTCACAGCCAGGCTTTACCTCCTTAATCCAACTCACCAGGAGTGTTCAGCTCTGGCCTGCAATGGAGTACCTGGCTATGCTTTGGCAGTACAGAGTCACAGCGGATTTTATGACACAGGCTTGCCTGAGAAGGTGAGCCATCCTTTAGTTTTTTTCCTTTGGAGGCATTTATTTTCTTGCAAGGTTATTCCGTGTATCCTACATGTAAAACAAAGCACAGCGTTGTCTTGAAGGGGCATAGTTGCTGAAGCAGAGGGAGGTCATTTGCCACTTTGGAAAGCCAAAACTTCTTGAAGATGCATTGCCTGTTTTGACTCCACTTCTAAAAGTTACTAGGTGTGGGACTTCCCTGGTGGCGCAGTGGTTAAGAATCCGCCTGCCAATTCAGGGGACACAGGTTTGAGCTCTGGTCCGGGAAGATCCCACATACCGCGGAGCAACTAAGGCCGTGCGCCACAACTACTGAAAAGCACCTCTAGAGTCTGTGCTCCGCAACAAGAGAAGCCACTGCAGTAAGTCCGCACGCCGCAACGAAGAGTAGCCCCCACTCACCGCAACTAGAGAAAGCCCGCGCACAGCAGTGAAGACCCAACACAGCCAAAAATAAATAAATTAATTAATTAAATTTATATAAGTGAATGAATGAATGTTACTAGGTGTTTTTCCAGTAGAATTATTTGGTCATTTTTAAATAAATGTACTCCAAGTCCTGTGTGTTCCATCTTCCCTTACATAGCAGTTTTCTAGCAGCTCATTGAAAGCCTACAGCCCACTCTCTCTCCCTCTTTATTTTTGGAGCAGGTCCAGCAAAAACCAGCAACCCCATATAGAGGAGGAGATAAGTCATCACATCACATTTTGTCTTAAGCACACACCAGTTGCTCCTCAAGAGCTTCGAGACCTTTGGTCCTTAGTGCACCATCAAAAGGTAAAAATCAAAATCAAAATCAAAAAACCTCCTTTACACTATGAGCTGATTAGATTTTCTATGGCAGACTGATTGCAGAACATTTATTTATTCTCAAAAACTGCATGTTGTAAAACTCTAGTCTTATCTGAATTAAGTTTCAAAGGGGAGAACTTTGAATGTTCTTTGGCAGTAATTTCCTTGGTATTTCTCTGCTCTTATCACAGATCATTTCATTTGGTTTCCAGGTAAATGAGGCTAAAATATTTGCTTATTTTTATTTTATTTGCTCAAAAATGTATTGTCAGAGTGTTTTTTACCCTTCCACAAGAGTAACTGTTAAATGTGAATAGTGGTAAACTGTAGTTAATGTAACTTCATTAGTACAGCCTTAAATTTTTTTGATAATGTTTTATTCATTTTGATCACATAATTGTGTGATTATTTTAATTAAGTTTTCTCATGCACTCTTATAAAGTGAAATCTTATGTTTTATAAAATTATAAATAGGTTAAGTGACTTGACCAAGACAACTGGGGTGGCAGAAAACCAGGAACATTAGGATTAATAATCTTTAAACCCATGTTAGTTTTAGATGAATCTTACAAGGCAGAGAGACCTTATAACGATTTATGGAACCTTTCTCAAATACTCTCTTATATAATTATTCCTTTATCTCTAGATGTCTACTGAAGAAAGGATCTCTTTGTGGTCCGAGTTATTTAATTCCACGTTTACATCTTTCTGGAGCAGTGCTGTGACCACAAATCCAGAGTACTGGCTAACATGGAGCCCTCTGCCTGGTGTGCAGCAGAGGGAGACACCCAAGTCCCTTCTGGACCCCACGTTAAAGGTTTGTTGCCATAAAATTATAAAAATGTTTGATGATAGTAGAAGAAACTTCTCAATGGATCTAGCAATGAACATTTATTCCTAGGATAGAGCAGTGACTAAGTAAATGATTGCTTTATTTTCTGTAAGATATTAATAAGTGTACCTTCAAAAAAGATATTCCATCTTAAATGATTTGGGAAATCCTGAATTAATGTAAACACAATTTCCTTTAAAAAGTCTTTAATTTCTCTTCTAATTGAAATATTTTTTCTAATTATAAGATTTTAAACAGTACAGAAACATGCAGATATGTGTGCGTACGTGTGTGTATATATATATATATATATATATGTATGTATACACATATACATATACAATATGTATACATGTGTATTTATATACGTATATAATGTAGAATTCACTGGGAATACCACTCTTCTGTATCCTTCTGTTAACATGCATTTTTATATTAAATACATATGTTAACAAAAACAAGGCCACCTTCTTGGTTCACATGATATGTCGTGGAAATTTGCACCTGTCATTCCAGCTTATTCTTTTTAATAAGCTGGTATTCCACTGTAGGTATTCCACTGTACTAATGTGCTGGAATGCATTTAATCACTTTCTTCTTGACAAGCATTGAGGTTTCTTGCCTTCTCCTCCCCCTTCCTGTAGCAAACATACCTGCATCAACTACCCTTGTATAAGCCTTTGTCCACTTGTCTGAGTATTTCTGTGGATGTGTGACGAGAATTGGAATTTAACCCTTGGCCAAAGTGTCTTCACGTTTAAAGAGATTTGTAAATATTATTAGAACGTCTAGGGAAGTAGGTTTTCGTTTTTTCACTTTTTAAACCTGCAAAGAGACAGTGAAGAGGGAGAACATGAAGTCAGGATGACCATGGCAGACTTGGGACTAGAGCACGTTTCACTTATCATATATCCTGTGTTGCCGTATCTTTGCCCTACTAGGTGTTATTAACACTTTAAATTATTGCCAGTCATACAATTTTTAAAAAATCTCATTTTGATATGTATTCCTTTGATTGTTATTCAGGTTGAATGTCTTTACATATGTATATTGATTGCTTTTATTTCTTTCTCTGAATTTTCCAGTCATGTTTATTGCTCATTTTGTTAAAAAGTCATTAATCATCATTTTATTATTGAAGATCTCTTTATGTATTATGGATATTAAACCTTTACCCAACATATATTTGGAAATACATTTCTAGTGTTCTGTTGTCTCTCAAGTTTGAAGATGTTTTCTTATATCACAGAAGTTTTATAGTGTTTTCTTTTCAAATGTGCCGGTCCCTTTCTACTTTCTGGCTTTGGTATCAGGCTTTTTAAATAAGTCTTCCTTAATTACCCACAGAGTTTAAAAAACCATTTTCTCATATTTTCTTTTTTCTTTTCTTTTTTTTTTTTTCCAGCTGCGTTGGGTCTTCATTGCTGCACGTGGGCTTTCTCTAGTTGTGCGAGCGGGGGCTACTCTTCATTGCGGTGCGCAGGCTTCTCATTGCGGTGGCTTCTCTGGTTGTGGAGCATGGGCTCTAGGCGCACAGGCTTCAGTAGTTGTGGCTCACGGGATCTAGAGTGCAGGCTCAGTAGTTGTGGCGCACGGGCTTAGTTGCTCCGCGGCATGTGGGATCTTCCTGGCCCTGGGCTCGAACCCATGTCCCCTGCATTGGCAGGCAGATTCTTAACCACTGCGCCACCAGGGAAGCCCTCATATTTTCTGTTTTTGTTTTATGTTTACATCAGTCTCATCTGGATATCTTGTTTTGTGAGGTGGGGATGCAAATTTTTTATTTTATACAAACAAGCATATCCAAAAGCAGTATTAGCAGCACCAGTTTTGACTAGTTCATCCTTTCCATCTCTTTTGAAATGGCCACCTCTCATAACACCTTATTCCCACAATATTCATGGATTTATTTTTGGACTCAGTTCTGTTCCATTGCTCTATCAAGATTGATTTCTTTAGTGTAAAACATCTCTCACAGCTTTTAGTGTTAAACCTTATGGGTCCCTAAGAGTTGCATAGAGTCAGGTTTGCTCTCATGTATTTGACCGCTAACCCTTTGTTCGTGGACAGCTGTTCCTGTGTCCCAGGTTAACAGTCCAGGGAGACAGGCTTGTCCCTGGCTCTTCTATTTGTCTTCCAACTCCTTCCCCTGCCTCCAAGTCTCACCTTCCTGCGCCCAGCTCTGCTGCACGACTGGTCTTCCTGATGCCCAGGTTTGAGGGGTTTTCTTCTGCATGACTAAAGCACCCACTGCTCCTCGTTCGTAGAGAATGGAGTCCTTCAAAGGCCCACTGCACCCGCCCCCGTTCTGCCCTTCTGGTCCTGTCTCAGGCTGATGTTTGCCTGTTCCTAGCAACCTGAATCTCCTTTTAAAATTTCTTTCTTTCCTCTAAGGTGCCCCAGTGCTGCCTGTTGAAACCCTTTTTTTTGATTTCTAAAAGTTAACATGATTCCTCTCCCCTTATCAGGGTCCTGGAAGTCTCAGTAGAGCCGTGTTCTCCAAGTGCTGCTTTGAAGTCTTGACCAGCAGCTACAGAGCAAGTCCCTGGGATGTGAGCGGCCTCCCCATCCTGTCCTCCTCACATGTCACCCTGGGGGAGTGGGTTGAGAGATCACAGCAGCTCCAGGACATCAGCTCGGTGCTTTGGACCAACATGGCTGTCCCTTCCGTAGCAGAGTTCAGGTATTCCCTCCCCCGGGTAGACGGTACAGCTCCCATCTTTCCTCCAGAGCATGTAGTGGGGACCTTGGTCAGAGCTTTCTTCGATAGTGGCTAGTTCCAGTGGGTGGAGGAAGGTTGTTTTCTGGCTGGATGAGCAGGTTTTCAGTCCATGACAGAGACTGCTGTGAGCTGGCCAGCCACTCTGTCAGCTGTAATATATTGTGATCAAGAAGGTGGTACTTAGAAAACCATATCAGATTATAAGTGAGAATAGAAATTCACCTCTAGGTGTAGGCAGTGCAGTCTGTCTTGTCATTTTTTGGAAGAACAATAGCATGAGAAAGGAATGATGGTCGCTGTGGCACAGACCCTTAAGTGCTTCCCTGTCCCCACAGACGCACGGATTCCCAGCTCCAGCGGCTGGTGCTGTGCCGGCACTTGGCTGGTCTGGCAGAGCTGCTCCCCGAGCCCCGGCGGCAGGAGTACGTGCAGAACTGTGAGCAGCTGCTGCCTGGGGACAGCCAGGCATGCCAGCACGTGGGCCAGACTCTCGGGGACATGGCCGGGCAGGAGATGCTGCCCAAGGAGCTGCTGTGCCTTTTTCTCACCTCCCTGCGCCACTTGTTCGGGGAGGGGGAGGGTAAGCGGGACCTGCCTGAGCCAGCCCGCCGTGGGAGCCTGTGGGTGAGCCTGGGCCTGCTCCAGATCCAGACCTGGCTTCCCCAGGCACGCTTCGACCCCGCCGTGAAGAGGGAGTACAAGCTCAAGTACGCCAAGGAAGAGGTATGGAGGGAGGGTTTGGAGCACGGGCTGCATCCCTGACTGGCTGGCTTTGCTTAGTATATTATTCCTTTCTCTCCCTTTGGATGCTCAGAGCACAGAGGGATGATTTTACATAAGCTGTCCTGTGACATCCCAGGAGTATGTTCTAAAGACTGTGTTTTCCTCTTTGCGGGTTCCTCTGAGTAGGTTCAGGCACCGGGAGGGGCCATTCTGATGTATCTGCTGGTAGGCTGCCCTGGGCAGAGGGCACAACAGGAGAACACTAGTGGTATCCCTCGCTATCCAGATCCCTCTGCCTAAAGTAAGTTGTGGATATTTGGATTTGAGTAACTTCTTTAGACAGGGTATAGCATTCCTTCGGTTTTGAACTTTGGGTGTTTGTTATCCAAAACTCAGGAAGTAGGTAGATTCAGATAATGTGGTGTATCTCTTGCTATTTGAACTTCCAACCAAACTCAGGAACTGAATACATTAAGATAGTGATACACTAGTTCTATATTTTGAAGAAGGAAAATTATGTTAGTTGGGGTGATGACCAGACTGCTGTAGCAGAGACTTAGAAGTTCATTGGCATAAATGAGATAGTGTCTTTTCACCTGACAGCTCTGAGGTGAGTGGTCCAGGTTAGTGGAACAGAAACCCCTGCCCTTGGGTCACTCAGGTTCCTTCCATCCAGGGAGCGACCCTCCCCCAGGGCTTTGTCTCTGGGGCCTGGCCCTAGCTGGGCACAGCAGACCCGTCTCTCCCCTTCTGCTAGTTACAACAGCTGCAGTGTGAGTGGAAGACCCGGAGCCTCTCATCCCAGCTGCAGACCGGAAGAGACCTGGTGGATGAAGTCGTCCTCGGTCACTCTCATCCTCACATCAGGTAACACCGTAGTGATTATTCCAGTTGGGGGTTATTGGCTTGAATATTCTTTTTAAAAAGACATTCTGTAGTATAATTACAGTGTTAAGCTGAGGTTATGATCTACATCTCTGAACTACATTAGCAGGTAGATCCCAAAGCCATGGTTATAATCAGGAAAAATACATACTCTGTGAAAGGCGGGGGAGGACTCACATGGGGCCAGGAGGGTTGAAAGCAGAGCTTATTCTCAGTGTGGAAGGAGTGGGGTGCGATGACGTGCACTGTGGAGATCTGTTACCTTAGGAAATACTGTTTAGTAGTGGGTTCTGAGTTCCAGTCCTGTCCCTGACCTATGGCCTTAAACCTTGGGTAGACCACTCAATACCTTAAACCTCAGTGCCGTATTTGTAAAAGGAAGATAATAGTGCCCACTTCAATGAGACGTGCCTCTGAAATGCTCGACGACACGTGTTGCACATGGTAAATGCCTGTGTATATATTACCCATTTTCATTATAATTGTCCATATATCATTTTACGCCTCAGTAGCTGAAATGTCTTCCTGCTGTTTTCCTGAGGCTCAGTCTAGATTTGCTGCTTTGCTTCTGACAGAATTTGCATACTGTGTTAATTTGCCTTTAGGTTGCTTCGCCAGAGAATTGATCAGCTGGAGAACTTAATCAGCAGCCTGTCCAAGAAGCAGGCCTTCAGGCCCCCGCTGCCTGTGTATGAGTCCCTGGTACAGGAGGTCCACCACTATGTCACCAGCATCGCCAAGGCCTCTGCCGTTCAGGACCTGCTCACTCGGCTCCTGCAGGCCCTCCACACGGACGGACCTCGGGCTGCCCAGATGGCCCAGAACCTTCTGAAGGAGGAGGCTTCTTGGCAGCAGTCACACCACCAGTTCCGGAGGCGGCTGGCAGAGGAGTTCGCCCTTTATCCAGATGCAGCGGCCCCGCTGCAGGCATCCGTCCTGCAGCTGCAGCACGGCATGCGGCTGGTGGCGTGCGAGGTCCACGCCTCACTCCATGGTGGCGTGGTCTGCGCGCACAGGCTGGGTGCCCTGGCCACATCCCTGTTGGCTTTCCCATCAGTGGGCCCCACCTTCCCCACCTACTATGCTCACGCAGATGCTTTGTGCTCGGTGAAGTCGGAGGAGGTCCTGCGAGGCCTTGGGAAGCTGTTCCTTAAGCGCCTGGGAGGAAAGGAGCTGGAGGGCAAGAGCCAGAGGCCCTGCCCCACCCAAGAACAGCTGCTGCTGAATGCCCTCCTGTACCTGCGCTCCCACGTGCTGTGCAAGGGAGAGCTGGACCAGCGGGCCCTACAGCTCTTCAGACATGTGTGTCAGGTAAGCCCTCCTCCTGACGGGAGCTGGGGGCACGAGCAGGGCTCCTGCAAGACACTAGCGGTGCCCGGTGTAGGTGAGACAGTGTGGGTAGGCACTGGGGATCTAGTGTCTGCTACTTGGCTTTTTCCCGTTTAACTGTCAGGTTTAGGGGCCTTTGTCAATTTTTAAGAGATTAAAAAAATATTAGTGTTGTTAGCCCTTTATGCCTGATACACACTGCAAATATTCTCTCCTTTTTTGTTGGTTGTTTGACTTTATGGTGGGTTTTGCCATGTAATTGAACGAACTTTTATTAATATTAAGAAAATAGGGGCCCAGGTCCAATCCCTAGTTGGGGAACTAAGATCCTGCAAGCCAAGCAGCGCAGCCAAGAAAATAAAATAAATTCTGGGGCTTCCCTGGTGGCGCAGTGGTTGAGAGTCCGCCTGCCGATGTGGGGGACATGGGTTCGTGCCCCGGTCCAGGAAGATCCCACATGCCGCAGAGCGGCTGGGCCCATGAGCCATGGCCGCTGAGCCTGCGCGTCCGGAGCCTGTGCTCTGCAATGGGAAAGGCCACAACAGAGAGAGGCCCACATACCGCAAAAATAAATAAACAAACAAGCAAACAAATAAATAAATAAAAATACATACATAAATAAAATAAATAAAATAAATTCTGTTTTTTCCCTTATCAACAAAAGCAACTTGTTTTCATTGTAGACAATTAAAAGAGTAAGTATAAGCAAAATTATTAGATTCTGCCACTCAGAACTATATAACTGTTAACACATTGGTGTGTTCTGTTCTAGGCTTGCTCATTTGTGCATGTATCTGTAAGGGTATGTGACACTAAATTTTTTACAGCTGTTTTTTCCCAATGGTTTACAATTTTTTTGGGTGGCGGGGAGTAGACCCTTTTAAAAAATACAAATATTAGCAGAGTGATCCAATATTTAACACATAAAAGGGCTGCTCTGGTTGAGGACAGTGCTATACCCTCCATGGTCCCCGAGATAATGTCCTCCAATGGCTTGAGCCCTACAAACCACTAAGAAAGTCCATTCTGTTTTATAACTTGCCTTTAAAAACCTAACAGCTAAAATTTAGTGCTTATTTCTCCCATGATTATGGTATTCTCCACCTGCATCATATTTAGTGACTGCCGGGTTTTCTGTTATATGGGTAAGTCATTTAACAGTTCCTGTCACTGAATATTTACATTTATATGTAAAGGTTTTTTTTTCTGTTTTGGGGGGAAAAAAACCCCAAACCAGTGCCATCCTAAAAGTCTTAAAGCTAGATCCTTGGGTAGAACTCCTAGAAAAGAGAATTGCTGAGACAAAGGTTAACTGCTTGCTTGGGCTTTCAATACAAATTGTCATCCTGGGGTTCCTTATCTCCTCAGTTCTTCTCAATACTGGGTGGTTTCTTTATAGTTTTTGCCAGTTGTAGGGCTTTAGAGGTAGTAGGGAATTTAAGAAATGTCCGGTATCGTATAGCCCGGTTTTGCCTGATTAGTTCCCCTCGACCACCCAGTCCCCAGCCCATTTTCCCTTTTCTAGACCCCCAGGATATCTCCCTGAGGTGCTGGCCAAGTGCAGTCTGCATCACACACCCACGTTGCTGACCCTCACCCTGTCCTTAATGCAGAGCACCATTCACGCCTTACGGGAAGTCCCCAGTCGTGCCACTACAGCAAGTTTTCACACCTGCGAAATTGTAACAATACAGCAGGGGGCGGTTTAGGAAACTGAGGTTGCTGCAGATACACAGTTTGAAAACAAATCCCATTTGCTCTCTGTTACATGGAATTTAGTGTCTTGGATGTCGGCATTTATTTGTTCTTGAACCATGGTATTTTGTTTTCATGAGGAAGAGATAACAAGTCTTGCCTCTGTTCATTGTAAATGCTTCAGCAAAGGCAAATAAGCTTCCTTCGGAATGTGTGTTTTTTTTAGGAAATCATCAATGAGTGGGATGAACAGGAACGCAGAGCCCAAGAGAAGGCCGAGCAGGAAAGCAGCCTGTACAGATACCGGGGCAGGAACTCTAGGACAGCCCTGAGCGAGGAGGAGGAGGAAGAGTGGGAGTTCAGGACACACTTCCCACCACATGGAGAGGTTGGAACGAGTCCCCTTGGTACCACACACCTGCCCTTTGAATTCTTTTTTTTTTTTCATTCCAATTTTATTGAGATATAATTGACATACAGCACTGTATGAGTTTAAGGTGTACAGCGTAGTGATGTGGCTTAACATACATCATGAAATGATTATCACAATAAGTTTAGTGAACATCCATCATCTCATATAGATATAAAATAAAAGGAAAAACATTTTTTTCCTTGTGATGAGAACTCTTAGGATTTACTCTATAACTGACCTACAGCAAGCACTATGTTAGTTCCTGTTACATCCCTTTGAATGGTTTTGTAATTTTTAAAACATTTCTCAATGCACGTAATTCCTTTTTTCATTTTCTTGATCGTTCATGCTCCATCCTTCCCACTTCCTTTTAGTCTTATTAGAACTGGGTTTTGACTTAAAAGTTCAATTGCTCTAATATTATTTACAGGACTTCGCAGATATTTTGGTAGAACCAACACTAGAGGCAAAGAAGGGACCTTCAGATGGGCAAGAAGAGGAGGCCGCCACAGAGCCCACCCTCCTGTCACAGAGCTCAATGCAGGCTGTGATGCTGATACACCAGCAGCTGTGCCTCGGCTTTGCTCGGTCCCTCTGGTACCAGCAGACGCCGCCGCCACACGTAGCAGAGCACTACCTCAGCCTGTTTCTGTCCTGCTACCAGACTGGGGCATCGCTTGTGACAAACTTCTACCCCCTGATGGGTATGGTAGTTTACTTTTGTTAAGCTCTTGGGAAATCAAAACGAATAGATAGGATTGCTACTTCTGGAACAATTGAAACTATTACGTCCCTGTTTTTGCTAAATTCCTTATTGTTTCCTTAGCTTAAAGGACTTAAGCTAATTCCAAAAAATTGATTTAAAATTCTGCAATAAAGATGGGTTTTCACCCTTTGAATACGTGGGGGTAAAGGGATTAAGAGTAAGGATATAGAATTAGTTTAAATGGTCTTGTTTTCCACATTATTTCCAATTTCCCTTTCACAGCTTCAGTGCTTTTCTAATGAAATCATGTATTCCTGGGAGCAACCTGGCAACTCAGAAATTAATCTCACAGGATATGGTTTGATGCAGTTTCCTACGTGACCTCATTAGTTATTCCTTGCAAGTAGGAAGGAGGCTTTAAATTTCATTTCTGCCTACCAAGAAGAGCTACAAAAACTGGGAATTGGAATCCATCAAACCAAACTCTGCACCCTCTTGATTACATGTAGGCAGTATCTGAGTTCCTCTGTATATACCGAAACTTGGGGCACATTTTGGTGACCACTGTAGTATTGGGGTCACAGTCTTTTAGACCTTTGCTGCTTTGGGAGTGAATGGCATTGCAATATCTACTTCATTTAGTCGCAGTCATTCATTATTTCTGAGCATGTTGCTGACCTCATTGTAACTTTATAAGAACTTTACAGTGATCTTGTTAACTTCACAGGAGTTGAGCTGAATGACCAGCTCTTGGGCAGCCAACTTTTGGCCTACACCCTGTCCTGCAACACTCTCTTTGGGGAGGGGACCTTGGACCTGATGGTGAAGCCTGACGGTCCCTATGACTTTTACCATCACCCCAACGTCCCGGAAGCTCGGCACTGCCAGCCTGTGCTTCAAGGCTTCTCAGAGGCCGTCCACCAGCTGCTGCAGGATTGGCCGGAACATCCGGCGCTTGAGCAGGTAGGGCAGCGGTGGGGAGGCGGCCTCTCAACTGTCCTGGGGGCAGTGACTTGCACACTGGATACGCAAACAGAGGTTTACAGAACTGCAGTTCAGTGCGGTGCTATTCCCTGGAGGATGAATATACCAGGTTGTAATGCCTGTTGTGTAAATGGTGTTTGAGATTCCACTTACTTTATCTGCTGCTCAGGGTTTGCCATCCATATATTGAAGGGCTGCTATGTTGCTCTCTTTGTTCAGACACATCCTTATACTAACAAGGGCCTGGCTTTTTCAAGATTTAACTCAGACCTTGCTCTGTGATCATTCAGCTAATTCTGTAATAACTTATAACAGAGAGTAATAAGAGTAATTACTTTATCAAACTCAATCTTACTTCCAGAGTAATGCAGCAGATAAAGTGTTTATCTTGGGCAGGATCTGCAGCCCTGGAAGTTTCACCCACAGCTCTCCTAAGTGCTCAAGAAGCAGGGCCTTTGCATGAAACTTCCAGTCAGGCCCCTCTTCAGTACCCTGTGACTTTGGGTGATTGACTGTCCCACAAGGATGCCCAAATCTTCTTCCCTCCACCCCCCACCCCCACCCCACAGCTGCTGGTTGTAATGGACAGGATTCGTAGTTTCCCACTTTCCAGCCCCATCTCGAAGTTCCTGAATGGCTTAGAGATCCTTCTGGCAAAGGCACAGGTAAGAGGATTCTCTCCAGTCCTCATTTTAGTTATAGTCAACTGAAGAGATTCTCTTATTATTAGAGGGACAGGATGTGATAGTTTGGGTTGGGAAAGGATGAACCTCCTTGGTTTTTCTGACATAAGGTCACATTATTGCAGGTGAAGCCACTGCCTCCATGGGAAACATAGGGGACCTGCCTCACCTGCTCTCAAGGGTGGGATGCAGCGTCCACCAGTCCTAAGGGCTCAGTCTGCCAGGACTTCTGGGTTGGCCTTCAGACCGGCAGGGTGCCTCCACTCTTCAGCCCCTCAGTCTTCTCACAGCCTCTGAAGTGGCTGGTGCTCCTCTGATTTTCAGATTAGGGCTCTGGACTTTGGAGGGGTCACGTGACTAACAACAGGGATTCAGACTCAGGTCTCCAAACCCTGTGTTATTTGCTCTGCTGGAGGTCTGTCAAGTGACCAGAAAGAACTCTAAGCTGGATAAGCTGGATGTAAACTCATTCTGGTTAGTTACTGGTAAATCAGTATAAAAGTTGTTGAAGGTCCCAGGGGTCTTTGCTCAAGAAAAGTCCAGGGTGTTACTGAGTGAGGAGGTGGTCAGGGAACTGAATAATGGCCATAGTAAATTTTCTCTGTGTTTCTTCAGGATTGGGAGGAGAATGCAAGTCGGGCCCTGTCTCTGCGGAAACATCTTGATGTGGTCACTCAGGTGGTCATCCGCTGGCGTAAACTGGAACTGAAGTAAGTGATACATTTGTCACTTCCCCTCCTGAACTTAGGTTGTAGGGATATAGTCTTTGGATAGTTTGTTTCCTCAGAGTTTATGTAGTATGTCAGCTAGAGACCAGACAATAGCGTGCGTTGGGAGGCAGCAGACTGGGAGCTTCTCCATCTCCATTTGGGAGGAGAGAATAGTGAATATTTAGCTTCTGCTTCTGTGCTTTCAGATGTTTGAATAGGTTTCCTTAAATGCCTCCTTGGCCTCTACTTCAATGTTTCAGCTGCTGGTCCATGAGTTTGGATAATACCATGAAACGCCATACTGAGAAATCCACCAAGCATTGGTTCTCCATCTATCAGATGCTGGAGAAGCACATGCAAGAACAAACAGAAGAGCAAGAAGGTAACACCTGTCTGTAAATTCCCTGCTTATTTAGAGGGTCCAAGCTAAGCTTAAAGTGCTGCAGAGTGTGGGATTTACCTGCTCCCATGTGTCCTCGCCCCACTACTTTCACATAGGATGTATCATTTGACTGCGAGGTATTCCTGAGAGGTCAGCCAAGAAAGCTGTGTAGTTTTATTCTTACTAAGAATAATAATGGAAGTCGGAGAGGTTTAAGTGACTTGTCCAGAGTCTAGAGAGCTAGTCATAAGTTAAAGTTTCCTTCTCTATATCCATGAGACAAGTCAAAGAGAAAGTTTCTGTCTTGGTAGGTAGTAGTTAAAATGCTTGAGTTAAAAGGGTTTTATCTCATACTTAGAACAAGTGCCTCATAATTCAGTTTCCTAATTTGCTGTGAGTGCACTTCACACATACCCTGAGTGGGGCTGTAGTTTTTAAATCAGCTTGGAATTTAGCTGTGGTCCTTGCTTCAGAGCTTCACCTTAACTGGTGTCTCTACTTGACGGCCCTCCCTCGGGAATCCCATAGTAGACTGTGTGCGCTTTGTGACAGCAAGTGATGGTTGCAGGCACGTATATGTTTTCTTCTTTGAATCTATAAAGATGACAGACAGATGACCCTGATGCTGCTGGTCAGCACGTTACAAGCATTTATTGAAGGATCTTCACTGGGAGAGTTCCACGTACGACTTCAGATGTTACTGGTTTTCCATTGTCATGTCTTGCTGATGCCACAAGTTGAAGGAAAAGGTAAGGCTATACATATGTATGTATAATATTTTTTCTTTAATTTTACCCTTTGAATTCTCCACATGAGACAGGTGTCTTGTGGCATACCAGGTTTTAAACGAGGCAGTTTCAGTTGTCTTTTCCTATAATGTGATTCAGGTTAGATATAGAGAAAAACATTAAAGTTGAGTACAGACTGGTTATAAATGAAGCCCTGGGTAGCGAACCATGGCAGAGGTAAATCACCAGATGCAGAGCTCGGGAGCTGGCATGTTAAGGCAGCACATCTTTCTGTCTAGACAGTGCATATGTCCTGCTAAGCTTCTGCTTGATCCAGGCCATATTATTAGGTTCTTTGATCTCAGGAGAGCGCTGCCACGTGTCAAGTAACTGCACATAAAACTTCTGTCAATTCCTATCGCTGACCACAGCAGTTTAGACAAAAGTGTCACTGTGAAATGAATATAGATTTACGTGAATGAGCCGTCAAGGTGAGCCTCTTAATATGCCATCTTTTAAAACAGGCTTAGTTTCTGCTGACTTTACAGTAAGATTCCGAGAAAGGGTTGGAAATTGTGAGTTTGGCAGAATGTCTGAGTACACCATCTTTAAGAACAAAAGTGCAACCAAAAAAATCCAGTACAAACTGAAATGAAAATATAGGGTAGGATTTAGAGCCTGCATCTCTGGGAACTGGTAACCCCGGCTTCCTAATGAGCTGTTATATAGTCTGCATGTGCTACATTGCACTGTAATCTCATGGCCTAAAGAGTAAGGAGGAAGGATCATCACTGAAATGTGAACCTCAGAGGGGGAGCCAGCAGCACATGCAGCAAGTGTGGTGTTTTTGTTTCCTTTTTATTTCTTCCAGATTCACTTTGCAGTGTTCTATGGAATTTGTACCATTATTACAAGCAGTTCTTTGACCGCGTCCAGGCCAAGATTGTGGAACTTCGTTCCCCCCTAGAAAAAGAGCTTAAAGTAAGATGAACGGCTGTCATAATCACTCTTAGGAGGACAAAATCAGCAAATTCTCCCTCAGTTCTGCTCTTTAATCCATTTGACTGTGAGGCAGGGGGATCTGGGGAATGGAGAAGAGCACTGCAACTGCCAACTAGGATGGTGGGTTTTTCATTTTGTGGCATTGGCTCCATTGCTGACCTGGCCGCGTGTGTGAGGGTTCCGGGGCGTGGCCCCTTTTCAGAGGCTCCTAAGAGGGATGTTAGTGCCCGCTCCCCTGGTCTTGCCCAGGCTGATCTTCCACCTCAGACGCGCACCATCTGGTGTTGGGCTATGGGCTGTTGAGGTGCTGGTGGTGTAAGGAGGATCCTCTCTTTTTGACACTTTCAGTGGTCATGGAACCAACCCTGGTTTAAGCTAAAGTACATAGTGACCTGCTGATTGTAGCAGCACTTTTTTTTTCCATTGCTTTGAGACAGACAATGGTTTTGGTTCCTTTATTAGACTTCTTTTACTTGTTCACTGACACACAGTCTTGTGTTTGAGATGGAATGGGCTTGTGTTTGAGATGGAATGGGCTCTGGTCTCCGGCAAGCAGATGATCTAGAAAGAACAGAATGACACCAGCTTTATAAAGCCATTCCTTGAGCTTCATTTATCTTACAGGAATTTGTTAAGATATCCAAGTGGAATGATGTCAGCTTCTGGTCTATTAAACAGTCTGTGGAAAAGACACACAGGTAAATTGATCTTTTAAAGCTGGGGGTGACCAAAACTCAGAATTTTTGAATGGTAGACAGCATGACTGCATTTTTACAGAGGTCTGACTTGTGCTGCCTTGAACTTAACTTAAAAACACTAGACTGTTTTGCTGGCTTCCCAACACCAGGCCCTTCCACCCAAAGCAGAGTCTCCCTGCAGGAGGAACGGGTGTGTCTGGAGGCAGAGCAGGCTGTGTGCCGTGGAAGGTCGAGTCCTCTGCCACCTGCTCACCTTGAGCAAAGTGATCCCACCGTTCCTGGCTTTTTTTTCCTGCTAGAAAAGAGAGACGAGAATACCTGCCATACTTTTTCCTTTAAAAAAAGATTATGAGTTTCTAAGGAGCTCATTACGTACCAGAAGTACAAGTTATTAAGTTATCTATGTATGTGTTATACGTCATTTACATATTTCCTCACTTCCCATCCTATTTTTTTCTGCCCATCTCTGTCATTACCTGGGGCCAGAACCCTCTTTAAATTCATGAAGAAATTTGAAGCTGTCCTGAGTGAACCCTGCCGGTCATCCCTGGTGGAGAGTGACAAGGAGGAACAGCCGGACTTTTTGCCAAGGCCAACAGATGCAGCCACAAGTGAGGAGTCACCCATTCAGAGTCTGAATCGGGCACTGAGAGAGACCCTGTTAGCCTGGCCAGCAGCTGCGCAGGTATTAGCTCGTGGGATAGTGTTTGCTTATTCCTGAGCTAGTTGCGTGGGGTCTTTGCTTTCTGTGGGAGGAGTGTCCTTAGCACTAGGTGAGGGAATACCTTTGAAATCTTCTCTTTGGACGAGTGGCATAGCATTTGTTTGCATGACCTGCTGCCAGAAAGCATTAATCCTGGTGCTGGAAGTTTCATGTTAGCCTGTGGAAACGACTGTTGTGCTTACCTGCGAACAGTTCATCTACCTGTGAGGGAAGATTTAAAGCATCAGTTTAGGAATAGGATATTGAAGCTGTCTTTGGGCTCCCGCGTGATGAAGCTGCTGCACAGGGAGTGACTGTGTGCAGTGATCTGCTGGTTTGAAGTGGTTGCTGGTGACCATGGTGTAGAAACATATGTATTCCCATTATGGCCAGTTTCAAGCGCCAAGAGTTAAGAGCTGGCTTGCAAAATTCCTGAAAATTTAAACAGTTATCGAGACCTTGGGTGAGTAGGCCTGTTACAGGAGGATGTCCCTGCTTCATAATCACTGGGTGTAGGGAGCACTCTTCCCCCCCGCCCCCAACCAGTAACTTTATTTATTTATTTATTTACTTCCTTCCTTCCTTCCTTACTTACTTATTTATGGCTGCGTTAGGTCTTTGTTGCTGTGCGCGGGCTTTCTCTAGTTGCGGTGAGCGGGGGCTACTCTTTGTTGCAGTGCACGGGCTTCTCATTATGGTAGCTTCTCTTGTTGTGGCTCACGGGCTCTAGAGCCTAGGCTCAGTAGTTATGGCACATGAGCTCAGTAGTTGTGGCTCTCAGGCTCTAGAGCACAGGCTCAGTAGTTGTGGCACACGGGCTTAGTTGCTCCACGGTATGTGGGATCTTCCCGGACCAGGGCTTGAACCCGTGTCCCCTGCATTGGCAGGCGGATTCTTAACCACTGCGCCACCAGGGAAGTCCGGGAGCACTCTTAAGGGAGTAATGACTTTTGTATTCCTACTGTGCTTTCCACCCTGGGTCTATAGAGTTAGCAATGGGGTTCCTCAAGCGGTTTTTAATATTTTAATAGTTCAGAAAGCATAATGGAAATTGAGTATATAGCCATGATATGGCCGCACACGTGATATGGCTGCCAAGTTTTCTTTTGATTGTATTCATCAGTTCACCACTTGTCATGCTGATCAAATTTTTAGACTTACTATTGATGACAACACAGGAATTTCAGGTCTCTTTTTTTTTCTGGGGCCGCGCTGTGTGGCATGTGGGATCTCAGCTCCCCTACCAGGGATGGAGCCCATACCCGCTGCAGTGGAAGTGTGGAGTCTTAACCACTGGACTGCCAAGGAAGTCCCAGAATTTCAGGGATTCTCAAGGGGAAAAAACTAGTGAAAATAGGCCTCCGATGGTTGCCTAGTATCTGGATCCTGGTATTTGAACTGTTAGTCAGGAATTGGAGGCAGGGGAGAGATGGTGGTAGAAGTTAACTTTGGCGGATCAGGTTAGCTTTGCCTGTGTGTCTGAGAAGCACAGTGCAGTGCAGCACCTTAAAGGCAGCAGTTATGCTGTCGGATCTCCACCTTCATGGAGCAGAAGCGCAGGCCCCTGGTGACGAGCACAGAAGGTGCTGCAGGGGGTGGGGAGCAGGGCTTCTGCTACGGGGACCTCCCACAGCAGCAGCACACAATGCTGAATACCCGCGACGCGTGCCTGTTTTAATTTTGGCGATGATGCCTTTGTTCTCGTGAGACTTCAGAGACGTGGAGAGGAGAGTTTCCTGTTGCTGAGCCAGGTGTGTGTGGAGCAGCACAGCATTTAAACCTAGCACCGGTGCAGGTTCGTGCTAAGACTGTTGTTCTTGGCAGTGAGAATAACCTGTGCTCTGTCTCACAGGCCGTGGTTCCAGAACAGTGTCAGGGTGCCCCCCCCGCCTCGGAGGGGGCACTTCTGCGTCGCTTGCCGAAGCTTGTGAAACGCATGAGGAAGATGTGCCTGGTGCTCATGAAGGGAAGCCCCCTACCCTGCCTCGTGGAGGGCCTCGACCAGTTCACCGGTGGGTGCACACCCAGGACGAGGGGGCTTTGCTCTCTCCGGTATCCTCAGTGGCCTGGGAGGGTTGGAATGAGATACCTGTGTCCTTCTGTGACATCTTAAATAGCGTTGAGCAGGTAATTAAGCAAGTGGGTTAAAACCCATCCGAGCCCAGACACAGGAGCCAGCTGAGACCCCACAGGTGGTCACCTTGTCCTCCTCCCGTGCACACCGGTGCAGTGTTAGGCCGTTTTCTACAGCAGCCCTGTCCATGTCAGCTCTTGCTGGTTGGGGACATGAGTAAAGGGTTTCCTAGAGTCTTGAGGCTGTCCCCACCTCTCAAAATGTTGTCTCTCTTGGGTTAAAGGAAGAGGGAGGTTTGTCCACAGTCCACTTCTTTTTTCCTTCACTTCAGAGAGGTGTAGCAGTCTCGTTTCCCTGTTCGTGCTGTACAGCATATCAGCAGTGGCTGGGAAAGGGAATCCCGACCTTAAAAGATCATTTGGGCCCTTGGCAGCCTTTCAGCACTTCCCCCACCTCAACCCACCCCACAGCTGCAGTGAATGTGCGGTCAGGGTGAAGCTGGTCCTTCTGCAGTGAGGCTGCAGTCTGATCTCAGGGAGATCTTTAAAAAAAAAAAAAACTTGTTAGAATAATAGCCTATCATCCATTGCTCAGGATGCCCTGCCTGCATTATTCAGGGGTCAGCTGTACCGCATCTTTGGTGGCTTAAACAATAGAAATTTATTTTCTCACAATTCTGGGGCTAAATGTCCGAGATTAAAGTGTCAGCAGGGTTGGTTTTTTCTGAGGCTCTCTCCTTGGCTTGTAGATGCCTTTTCTGTGTCCTCATCTCCTCTTCTGTTAGGGATGCCAGTCAGATTGGATTAGGACTCACCCATAAAGCCTCATTTTATCTTTTATTTTTTTTAACTTTTCAAAAACATATATTTATTTATCTTTATTTGGTTGCACCACGTCTTAGTTGAGGCTCACCAGCTCCTTAGTTGCAGCATGCGGACTTCTTAGTTGTGGCATGCATGTGGGATCTAGTTCCCCGACCAGGGATCGAACCCGTGCCCCCTGCATTGGGAGCGTGGAGTCTTAGCCACTGGACCGCCAGGGAAGTCCTGGCCTCATTTTTATCTTAATTGGCTCTTTAAAGGCCCCACTTCTAAATACAGTCACATTCTAAGGTTTTGGGGGTTAGGACCTCAACATGAGCTTGGGAGGCCACGCAGTCAGCTTATAACACTGCCTGTGGCAGGCTGGCAGCACCCTGGTGTTCTAGGTGCCGTTGGGTGCTCAGGAAGGCAGTGCAATGGTGGAGAACGAATTTGGGCTTTGGAGTCGGTTCAGCCAGGGTTCAAATCCTGGCTTCAAGTCTGCTCTTTACCTGAATGGCCTTTAGAAGATGACTAGACTTCTCTGAGCCTCTTTGAGTGGCTACAAATAAGTTCTTCTGGAGCTGTGCAGATTAAAAGAACATTTACCAAGTACCAGGTACAGCGTAGGAGCTCGATACATGTTGTATGTATTAGAAATTTACCTCAAGTTTTAAAAATTCTTAGTGTAAATCACTGCATATAATCCATGTTCAATAAGTGATTTTTGCTTGATTGGTTATGAAACACCTGAATAAAATAGAAAAAAAACAACAATACCTACTTTATTTGGGTTGTTTGTTGTTAAGAGATATGAAGTGCCATGTGTTCTGATTTTTCCGTTATCATGCATCTTGATGAGTTTAATCATTGAGAATTTACCAAATGCTAGGGACTGTGTTAGCTATAAAGATGAATGACACCTGGTCTTCGTTTTGTCAGGTCCTTGGTCTTGGGTAATTTGGGCACATTAAGAATTCCTGGGGATTTCCATGTTTCCCCCTTGTCTTCCCTGCAGGTGAAGTCATTTCCTCTGTGAGTGAGCTGCAGAGGTTAAAGGTGGAGCCCTCCGCAGAGAAGGAGAAGCAGCGCTCAGAAGCCAAGCACATCCTCATGCAGAAGCAGCGAGCTTTAGCAGACCTCTTTAAACACCTTGCAAAAACCGGTAAGGTCCTCGGTGGAGACCCAGTGAAGTGTGCTCACCTGATTTGAGGAAGACAAATAACATGGGTGATTTGGGGGAAGTTTGTAGGGACAGTTGAGATGGCGGGAAACATAAGGTGGAAGGCAAGGTTTGAAATGTGTGAGTCCCAGTCAACGCACACGAAAATCCTATGATGAACCATTTGTGACTCCCAAGTAGTTTCACAGTTTTGTAATGAGGTTTCTCAGAAACCATGTTTTTTATTTTCATCACCATATGTTGTATAGCACCCGGCCTTCCATCGTGCGTAGGGAGCAACACTTTTCAGACTAACTTATCTGTGAATCACCTGGGGAATCTTGCTAAAGGGCAGAAGCGGATTCTGTTTCAGTAGGTGTGGGGCAGGGCCTGAGAGTAAGCTTTCTAACAAGCTCCTGGGCGATGCTTTTCCTAGGACTTGACTTTGAGTAGCAATGGCATTGGGGACTTCCTGGCACATCTATTCTCTCCAGAGTTTCTTTATTTAACCACCTGCTGTTTATTTCCTAGGTTTGTCATATCGCAAAGGTCTTTCCTGGGCCCGTTCAAAAAACCTTCAAGAGATGCTTCATCTTCACCCGTTGGATCTCCAGAGCGCATTGTCCATAGTCAGCAGCACTCAGGCGGCTGATTCTAGGTTTGTATTTTTAATTATAAGTGGAGCAAGTCAGCTAAGCCTCCATGGCCTCATTTGCCAAAGTGGGGAGAGGAGTACTTCTGTCCTAGTGTTGCCATAAAATTCGTATTTAGAAAAGTGCCTGGCTCAGGACTGGCAGGTGGCGAGCACCCAGTGTTAATTATCTTTTCTTTTTTTTTTTAACCTTCTTTTCTTTCATTAGGAAAAGGTAAGGGACAAATTCGAAATATTGGGTGGTTTGGGCTCTGTTGGGGATCTGGTGGGGTAAGGAAGACAAGGGGCCACTTTGAGTATTTAAAGCAAGTGTCAGTAGTTAGTAATTGTTGATTTTCTTCTTTCCATTCCTCTTTCCTCCTTGTATTCATGTCTCCCATTATTTTTTTTGGTCCTTTGATTTTTCCTGAGGTCTACTCAGTTGATTTGAATGTACAGGTGAAAATCTGTGAGAGAATGGCCACACTTTTAGCTATTCCATATACATAAACCTAAGTTCCCATATGTTCTTGAATTTGAGAGCCTGTAGACTTTGGAGACAGATGGAGCTCCCTCTGTGTTAGTAACTGGTTGGAAATGAGCTGAGTACAGCATACATGTGTGTTTTCTTTGCTCAGTGGCCCTCTCAAGTGCTTTAAATTTGAGTTCAACACAACACTGTAAAAAGTAGAAATTTTACGTAAACATTCTGGATTTTCAGTTTTTCGGGAAAATTTGGCCAAGTGTGCTTGCCTTCCCACGTGGTCGAAAGTTGACTAGAGTGCCCTCCTTTTGATAGGACACATGCTCTCAGGTTCACTGTGGTCAGTAACGGTCCCTCTTGCTTCTCAGCTGTCATCACCAGGGATCATTTTGTGATCATTTTGGCTGTCCTTAACCATGTGTGTTATTTGCATGGCCCCTGTAGGCATCAGAATTTATGATCCCTAGACTCTACTGCCAAGATAGTCATAACATTTTTATTAAGGAAGACATATTGTCATAGTGTATTTTCCCACTCTACTTTCAGTGCTAAGTATGTAACACATCCTTTGTATAAAGGACTGATGAGTGGCTGACTGAATGGGTCCTCACAGAAATAAATCTGTTCAGACTCTTGGCTTCTGGTTGTGGCTAAATGGACCAGTCTCTGACTCCTCAGGATCTAGGGTGGAGATAGTGGTTTTAATTAAGTAAATCATGTTGGTTTCTTTCCCAGGCTGCTTACAGAAATCTCGTCTTCATGGGAGGGGTGCCAGAAGTATTTTTATCGCTCTCTTGCACGGCATGCCAGGCTTAGTGCAGTCCTGGCAGCTCCCGCCAAGGTAGGATGATAGAGCCTTGGGATTGCAGGGGCTCAGGGACTCCAGTTCTGTTCATCCAGGGCAGCGTCCTCAGACCTGGTCCAGTGATCACAGCCCATTACTGGAAGTGACTGAACTCTTTGCAGTCATTAAAGTGACAATATAAATCAATGTAATTTTGTGCTTAATCAGAGAGCATTTTATAATAAGTTCTGTTATTCAACATTGGCTAACAGGACCAAATCCTTAAGAAAAATTACGGAAGAAAAACTTCAAATGGAGAATGCCACCCTCCGATCTTTTCCCCCTGTGAATTGAGAGAAGATCACTGATACCCAATTTTGATGTTAAACTAGTTCCTGTTCATGGAACTTCAGTGAAAGCATAATTTGAGATGCAGTGCTCCCAGAGGTGGACGTGTCGCCTCTAGAGGGCAGCACACCCAGGCTCCGCACCCCACCCCACCCCCACCCCAGCAGGGGCTCCCCTCCAGGAGCATGGGACCCAGGACTTCCCAGCGGCCCCTCAGCATGCTCTCTTCTCCCCCTGCCAGGAGATGGGTGTGGGCCACGTGGAGCGGTGTAAAGGGTTCTCGGCGCATTTGATGAAGGTGCTCATCCGACAGCGGCGCTCCCTGACCGCGCTGACCGAGCAATGGATCCTCCTCAGGTATCGCTGACTGGCTGCGTTTGCAGCACGAATCGAGAGTATTATGCGCAGCTCAGTGTTGCTGCACACGCTGCTCCCAACTGTGCAGTGAAGTCTGAGGTCCGAAGGGGCAGGTGGGGTTTGCCTTGCCTTGGCCCCTTGCTTTTGGTGGTAATGCCTCTGCCCCCTGGTTTTGGCAGCACCTCTGGGGGATGGTTCGAGGCCGAGTCAGATGGTAAAAATGTTCACGACTGAACCACACCTGGGTCTGGAATGAGGGCGTCTGTGATTGGCAGTCCGTGTGGGTCGAGGGCAGGGTTGCTTTCATGGCATCGGATGTCTCAGACTCTGGGCACAGATCAGATGTTAGTCGGCTTTTTGGATCACAGAGTTGCAATTTGCTGAACCATACACTGGTGCTCCTCGATAGAAATGGATACTTAAAAGATGAGGATAGGAAGCCTGTCATCATCTGCTAAGTGGATCCTTGGCTGACAGGTAGTATTTCTAGACTGTAATTACTTCAGCTATTTTCTTCTCCACTCATAAGAGTTTTATCTAGCAAAGTCTACTACATTTACTAGATGTTTTTTTTAGAAAATAGTGGTTGAAATCACTGTGGTGCTGTGACTGTGTTGGATGTGAGAGGCCTGTAAGGGGCAGGTGATAAGCAGTGAGCACCAATGCTTCTGCTACACTGAAGGATGTGTTTAAGTACTTTGGAAGGCGTTTGAACGGACTTTTTACTTATCTGGGGAATCCTCTCTTCTTGATTATGTGGAAAAGCCCAAACTTCGTTCAGAAATCAGTGAATTTACCATCACAAACAGCGCGGTGACACAGTTTAAGGTGCCATGTGTTATCCCCATGGGTTTGTTTCTCTGCACAGGAACCTCCTCAGTTGTGTGCAGGAGATTGACAGCAGGCTGACGGGGCCGCCCGTCTACCCCGTGGCCTTCCCCCCTCAGGACGGGGTGCAGCAGTGGACAGAGAGGCTGCAGCATCTGGCCATGCAGAGCCAGATCCTGCTTGAGCAGCTCTCCTGGCTCCTCCAGTGCTGCCCCAGTGCAGGGCCAGCTGCAAGCCAAGGTGATGCCCAGGCACAGGGTCAGCCTTCTGCCCCCTCCCTGGAAGGACCAGAGCTCACCAAGGGGCAGCTTTCTGGAGCAGTGCTGGACCTGATCCCGTCAGACCTGAGCTACCCATCCCCAGTTCCTGGAAGGCAGCTGCCCTCTGGTTGCCGGATGCGGAAACAGGACCAGCTTTGGCAACAGTCAACTGTGAGATTAACAGAGATGCTGAAAGCCATTAAAACAGTGAAAGCTGATGTTGACAAAGTTAGGCAGCAATCTTGTGAGACTCTCTTTCATTCTTGGTGAGTGTGCCTACATCTTTGCTCTGCCTCTGTGTGTGCAGTGCTTGGTCAGGGTTTAGTAATGGGATGAAATGACGGAAGGGGTCATGCTTCAGTCCTTGGTTTTTCCAGTGGACCCTCATAGCGCTTTGTGGCATACGTCTAGCTGTAAATCTTTAGATGCAATGAGTTTTAGTGGTGGGAGGGAGGGAGGGAGGGAGGGAGAGGGTGTGTGT